TTCACTCAAAGATGAAAAACATAAACTCTGAAGATGAGAAATACTAACAATGGTTCTCTTCTCTCTTACATGGCTCTCACCAACAAGTATAAGAAGAGAAGATCTAATTCCCACCATCCATCCCACTCTCGTGGATGGATAACATGGCGGATAATACTAACAAGCACACGGATCGCTGACGTAACGCTACCAACTAACATACTAACTAACACACTTAATCCTTACCTAACAAGCACACGGATTGTTGACGTGGCATTGTCAACTAACACACCTAATTTCTATCTACCAAGCGCGCGGATCGCTGACGTGACAACCATAACTAGTGCACGCTAAAGTATCTATATTAACATTTAGAATAACCTCTATTTTGGTTCTAACTAACTAAAGATGGTTACACTCATATAGAGCTTAAAGTTTTAGCAATCTCAAAATTAAAAATTGATTTAGAGAGTAACATTTCAACATTTTAGCACTCTCAATCTGCGGAGTTGTATTGTGCAGCTTAGCGTAAATTCAAATTCATGATTAGTGCAGTACAAATGTTGAAGTTTTTGGTTGCTGGTCGGATTAACATTAGCACTCCAAAGTTCTCGCTTACTGCTACGAGTGGAAAATCTTCCAAACTTTTACTTCTTTCTTCATGGACTCATTGGCAGGTTGGACTACTATTTCACACTTGGAATATTTTGCATATTTTGTTGGGATTATAAAGTTCAAATTGTGGTGGTGGATCTTACCCTGCATGTTATGTTGTAGCTAGGAGCTAGCAAAATACAACTGTAGGAGTTTTTTGAGTAAGAGTAAGAAATAAGCTTAGTGTTCTTTGTCGAGTCTGCCATAGTATTTTAAAGTTCTTGCTAAGTACTATGAGTGGAGACTATATTGAACTTTTAACTCTTTTCGCTTCTTGATTCATCAACAAGTTGGATTACAGTCTTCCACAATGGAAATATTTTGCATATTTTGTTGAGGTTGCAGAGTTCAGACTGTCGTGACAAGTCTTACTCTGCACATTATGTTGTTTCTTACAGCTGGTAGAATATTGTGTGTTGGAATTTTCAGAGTAGTAATAAGATCTGAGCTAAGTGTTGATGGTCGAGTAAGACTTATCATGCCCAAGTTTTTGATGATTGTTGCGAGTGTAGACTCGTTCAAACTCTTACTTCTTCTCGCTTGATCAGAGCAATTCTACCATACAAAAGCTCTGATGGGTCATACTAGTCAATGATTTTTGTATAAGATCCTAGAATCATTTTCAGCTTCTGTATTATTTTTTGATGAAGTTTCAATAGCGTTTAAACATTCCACCAAACCGCATTTCACATATTCATCTTTGAAAGACAAAGTAAAATTGTTTATAATATTGAAAAATATATTTTGTGGACATTATTATTGAGCATATGATTTTCAATTTTGAATATTAAGAAGAGAGCGATATAGACGAAGATATAAATGAGTAACATGCATTTAACATTGTGGTTGAAATTGATGCTCAACTATTTTGACATTGTTAAGCAACAACAAAGTCAAAAAAGAAAGCATTATCGTTGTTCAAACGTGTCAAATCAATTTATTCTTACTTAATGACGATTCCTACGACAAAAAAAATAATTATTTTGTTCGACCATGCATTTTATGTCTTGCCGAACATCAATTTGTATGACGTTTCAAATTATCGGTTGCACTTATGGTGTTTTGGGCAACCTTGATTTGTGTGTGTCTCTGTGACAAAATTAGTAACTTTGTTCGAATAATCTATGTTGTAAATCTGTAGCAAATTACCAATCTTCTTTGACGTTCTTGAATCTTTTTGTTAGCACTGAATTCGGTGATACATCAGAGCATTTCATTCCTTGACATACACTTTCGGATTTTCATTTCCAACTGTCATTCTATTGTTAATTTGCATGATTGCGTGCTTCCAATGTTTGATTGTTATACCATAAATGTCATATTTACCATGATGAGCAAGTTTTTAAGAGTGTTTTGTCTAGATTGAACAGTTGTCTACTTGATTTGACGTTTACGGAGCACGCAATATGATAGGAGGTCTTACTGAAGTTATTTATCGATTCAACGCCGTGATGCATAACAATTATTTATTTTACTTAAATTTGATGCGGAGTGCATTAACTAGATCTTGTTATGGATGAAATAATGAACAATGTCATCAAAGAATTATTCTTTTTAGTGATGATTAGATTTATTACTCATCTAACACAGCCGTAAAATTTGATTGCTAAAATGCAAATTTCATGTTCTATGTTGTCAATTTTTGGCTTTCGACGGAGAAGATCATCACTTGGTTTAAAATCCATCGGACACAATTGCTTATTCATATCGAGTCAAAGTAGCCAGATTTTGATCCACATCAATTTCGGTGGATTGCACTTAGTTTTAAGTATCAATTCATCATTTGAATTGTCACTTTTGGTGCTATTCAAAGATTAACTACTCTTGTGCTTCAGCAGCAAAATGTATCGTCAAGCCAAATATATACTCTTTTATTTGAAAAATTTAGCAACATGTTTTTTTATGTGAGAATTTTTATTCATCACAAATTGGTCTCATAAACAATAAGCATGAAACTCTAATGCATGATCATTAATGTGAAATAGTGATTTAGTGCGTTATCAATTTGCTTTCCAGCAATTTAAGTTTCAAGTACGACAGGTTTTCATGTGGTGCTCAATTTTTGAATCTCATGGAAGAATGTGTTGTAATCACGAAACAATATTCCACAAAAATTAATGAACATTTTTTTATGGAACTAGTATTCTAGAGTATGACTTTTCACATTTGAGAAAGATTCAATTTGCAAAAAAAATAATTTCATAGAATAGTTTGAGCATTGATTTATGCTAATTAAGTATTTTGTACTAAAAGCCAACTAAATTATTTTATTATTATACTAAATTAAGCTGATTTAGGTTATTTAGTCAATTGACTAATATAAACATGTTGAATATATGTTAACAAGAAAATGAAATGCAAAATTGTTAATCAAAGTTAAAATTCTGAATACATGTTTTTCCATTTCTTCTTTTGTTAGTTTTCACTTTACAATATTTACTTTGATAGTGGATCAATTTAATTAGAAGTTAAAATACATGGCAATCAATAACATCATGATAAAAAAAATTCAATAATTTCTTTGTAGAGTAACATTGAGTCAAGAATTCAAAAAGTAACGATGTAGTCACTTTCAAAACAGTTTGTGGACAAATACTTGAATAATCTTGAGATTATGCACACAGTATAATACATATACTCCAAGTTTTCATTCTTCAATGACTACTCTTGTGGCCTATCAATAAACTTTTGCAATAGAAGTAGATGAATTTTTCTCTCTAACTTCAATCTAATTGACACAAAATTTTGCATCAATTTATAACAGTTATACCAGAGATCGAATTCTCCAACTTGTTTAGGCAAAATCGGCATCTAAAGTGAAATCTGATGACGAGTATACCATCCAAGCAAACAAATCCACACTCATCTTCATTTCTATAATGTAATTTACGGTGAGAACACCGTGAATATCATTTTAGAATATGCTATGTGAATTTGATTCATCAGGATTCGACCCATGCACATGTATGAAACGAGAGTGGTCATTATCTTTTCCAATCGTTTCAACCACTTCCCCTGAACTTCATCACTCATAGCAAAAAATATTGCAAGCTCTAGTCAAAGATTCTAGACTTTGAGGACTCTCTACATCGTGAAGATGGAGCTCCATCTTCACTATCTACAGCTCAGAACACAACTTCTTGCTTCCTACTTCCATATACTTCAATTCAACATTTTTGATTTGCAAATATATCCGTAAGACGTCTTATCCTCCTACGATGATTCACATTCTCTGCAGTATACTTCTCCACACACTCCCTTGATTGTTGGGATTTCTGCAATGAAAGTTCTTACCTTGCGCTGTAATGTGGGATATTGCTAATACCACAAACTCTACTGGAGAGTAGGATCTTAACCGACATGGTTAGGCGTCCAGGTTAGGCGGGTTATCGAGAATTGGTTATAGAGCTGTTGCCAAATATCCCAAATGCCTAAGCCGTCTTCGATAGAGCGATTTCTACATCAAAGAGCGCAACTTTAAATTTTAAAACGTTCTTTAAATTTTGGGTTTCTGCAATATTATTTGATTGTCGTTTTCTTCTGGGTTGCTCTCCTTTGATATGTTCCCATCCCTTGTTCTTAATCAGTTGCGGACGTAATAAATGAAGTCGCGAAACTGATTCATCTACGCAACTGAGGCAACGAGCTCTGAGTAGACGAAGGGAAACGCTGGAAACGAGGGCTTCGACAACGCCTCTGCAGGATTCAAAGGCGTGTAGACCACGGCACACTTTTAACCTGTGACTTTTCTGTGTGAAATAAGTACTTGCCCATCACAACTTTAGTAGTTGTTATCTGACACCTCATGTGGATTAGATTTGCCTACTCAGGGCACATTAGCTTGTTCATCCCGAGAAAAAACAAATATAGAGAAAAGAATAACACAACCAGAGCTTTGAACCCTCTTCGATGCCTCTGTCAACAGTCACCAGAGTAGTGTAGATCCGATATACAGATCCTATAGTATACCCGAATGGAATGATCAACTGACTGCTCTTACAATCTTACAACCAGAGATGGACAGTGCGGCAGACACTAATGTATAAATCTGCTCAAACTGAGAGAGACATGCAGAGATTGCTAATTTAATTAGTATGACTGATACATTTCAACGGAAAAGTCGAAGGTAAAGACGATCATACAAATAATTGGAGCTCAAACTAAACCCGAAGGACAAGCAACCCGGGGCATGTGGCAGGCGACAACATTGAGCACCGATTGTCGGAACGTGTGTTTCTGTAATGCATGAGGTCCGTGCTTATCAAAATTCATGCTTCAACAACAGGACATAGTTATGACTGCACTCACACAATGACAGTGGAATTTGCAGAAGACCAACTTAAACACAAGACGCGATGTGTATCCACGCAAATAGACTCTGAAATCAACGTGAATGTAGAATAGATTGATAATTTACAAAATTTCACCGAACGCTACTTTGATTGACTCAAATCTAAATCTGCTTGACCTTGACCTATAGCGTTTCTTATAGCTGAGAGGAATTCAAATCTTCGTGACGATCTGTGTTCCCTTGTTGAGAAGAGACCTATTTACAAAAGTGACTCAAGAGAAGTGCCAGTCTACATTTATGCTCTCGTCTACTTCAGCACAGCTGACGTGAAGTACGTCGACAAGGGGACAGTCTCAGGTCTCGACGACAGATCTACTAGCACTAATCACTTCGGTGCAGACATGAATTATATCATTGCTCTGGAGAATTGAACCGAGGTCAATGAGTGAATAGTACAAAAATGGCTGAATAGTACATATCCGGCTGAAGGGGCCTCACCAGCATATGTGCCTCAATTAGATCTGGGAACTGGTATCACACACGCTTTGAAACCCTTTTCGGATCCAGGGTTCATAGCGTAATCTCGATACGGGCCGAGATACCAAAACACGAGGGCATACCGAAGTCGTTGTATCAAGACGGAAGACAGAAACGTTGCATCAGGGCTTACGCTTTACGTATGACAAGTAAGGATCTTGGGCAGCAGTCAACACATCCGGCCTTTCTGCCTGATTGTACGTAAGACAGCGGCGGATAAAGTCCTGCATTCAAGTAGTCAAATGAGCATCATAGCATTACGTGTGATTAACTTGGACATAAGTATGCGTGTCATGTCTGCACGACATGAAAGTACATGTTTTGCTCCAGAACCAATGTGGTAGATGACAAAGTGGAAAGAGAATCAGATTGCCCGAAGAAAAATGCAAGTTTTACTAGAGTTTTGGAAAGCTCAAATGCACCTATCCAGAAGCCATTACCTTGGCTTCAGAAGTGACTGCTGGTTTGGGTGGAAATTCCACTTTGTGAGCCTTGACAATGGTATCTTCCCGCAATATTCTTTCCTGAGTTTGATCATGCCCGAAAGGACGTCGACCAAAAAGCATCTGGTAGAAAAGCACTCCGGCTGACCAGACATCAACCTGCAAACCAAACATTCTTTTTAATTTAGTCCAGTATGACCCAAATCGCGAGAAATCAAGTGTGACTACATATTCAATCATCAACCCCATACTTGTTTTAAAAGCTAGTAATGATAGCCACCCAAAAATACAGGATACGAAATCTCTGTAATGTTGATGGTACCGCATAATGATCAGCTATCGTGCATCCTCATCAACCAAGAGGATCTTTGAAAGATTAATGTACCTTAGAAGATATTAAAGGGACCTTGTGCACCTCAAAACACTCTGGAGGTAGGTACCTGATAGACATTGCACTATCAAATTAGGCGCCAAAAGTATTTCGACAAAACAAGAATATGCCACACATAAAATCTGTACTCATAAGAGGAAGCACTCCGGTCAGGTTGTCTGTTGTCTTATAAGACTCGTTAATGGCTAAAAAGTTTCTCCTGCTCTCAACATCAGTCTCTTGGGCACATATAAATAACTACTTACCAATAAGTGCCTGCACCCTGCGAGGTGAGTTCCATTCCTTGTGAGCCAACTTCATCTTCCACTATCTTGCTGAGCCCAAAGTCAGTCATCTTCGCGACTCCCACCTCATCGAACAGGACATTGCCTGGCTTAAGATCATAATGTATAATTCTCTGCGGTCGTCTATTAAGATAAACGAGACCCGAAAAAATTTGGACCAAAATGCTACGCGCGTCTCTTTCTGGTAGACTTGGAGTTGCCTTAAGGGTTGCGTCAAGATCTTTACCTGTAAAAAACACATGCATCATGAATAACTGTATACAGTTCAAGTTTCTCCAGCTGTCAGGACAGATCGTAAATATACTTCTAAAACGAAAGATCTTCAAAGAGGATGATATAATCTAAACTTGATGAATGCTACGACTATGATGGCTATCATGTCTTCCACGAGTAGGAAGACATGATAGCCAAATTCCGTATGAGTTATTTTCAATGATCACCAAGACTTAAGCTTTTGATTCGGTGAGTCTTCGCAAGCTTTTCCAATATCTTGCACTCATAAGTATTTGCCTATGATAGTCTGAAGACCATAAACCCGCACCCGCTCTGAGGTTTCTAGGCCCAACATATTCTGTAAAAGCGATATACTCGTCTTTGCTTAGGGAACTGACGCAGAACAATAACCAAGATCAAATGGGCTAAGAGTATCACTGAAGGCTGCAAGAGTAAGGACGCAACATACCACTACAGTATTCAAGGACTGTACAAAAAGTATTGGCGTCAATTTCGAAAATGTCCCAAAGTCGAACGATATGACTATGAATAAGGCCCTTGTGGATGTTGTACTCTCGAACTGCATGGCGGACGTAGCTCCTCTTCTTTTCTTCCCCCCACTGAGCGTTAAGGCCATGCAATTTGCACGCAACGTACTTGTAGTCAACCAGATCATAAGCCTGTTTTCACAGGATACAGCAAATTATCATTTGTGTTTCTTTAGAGGTTTGCACTTCTAACCACGATTACAGAGGATTTGTACATGACGATGAAATTCATCTTTATAAAGGAGACGTCCAATGAAGGACAGCCTCCGATGTCAGAAGCGAATGTGGGAGCGCATGAAGAAGGAAGAGAAGCATTCAGAATGACCATAACACAGAAAGAGGCTGTCGATGATAAAGCATGAGAAAGGTAACAATTCCCAGGTACGGTAGAAAACCATATATGGAGATTATGATCAGAAGTTTTCAAGGAGCTGCGTTCTATAGTGAATATGCAGTCGAACTATAAACATTTAAATAAAACCCTAAACCAAACAACCAGCTGTCCAAGCTACTATGCCCAATTCAGACATGAACTTCAAGGTTCACAATGTGCTGCCTTTCGATTCATGAAAAGAAAAGTGAAACAATGAGCGGATCCATTCGTGTGATGATAAGTGATTTGAACCTTACCTTGTAGACCTCACTGAATCCACCCTTTCCAAGTAGATTAAGCAGCGCGTAACGATTATTCAATATCGGGAAGTGATTGAAGCGCGATCCATCTTCATCTCTTATACGCTTCATTTCACGAATGTGGCATGCTTTCTCGTGCTCGTATCTATCCTTGTCCCTCACTGTCACTTCTTCCTCCTGGCAGAAAAGAGCGAGAAGTGATAAGAAATTATAGTATGAACGGCATGAAGAAACCAGAAAAGTTTCGCAAACCGACGACAAGTCCTATTTCTTAAGGTCGTGGGTTCCACACTTTAATATGATATAACAACTTTGCCTACTGTCCTTCAAGAAGAATATTACTTCTATATCAATTGATATGCATATTAGTATATCAATGTACACTAGCTGACCTTACTGGTAAAGATTACTCAATACACGGTAGGCATGTTCGAAATCAACTTTACTATACTGGATCTTCCATTACATAGGAAAAAGTGCAAGTGAAGGTCAAGACACACCCTTCTGATAGAAACGAGACGTGTTCGGTAGACTTCCTCCATAGCCAAAAACTCTTCTTCGGACATACCTGCCTCTCCAACGCTTGATTCGAGTTTTTCTGCAGGATCTCCAAGAACCATCATGACTAGATTCATGACATACATAACTCGACAGGATAAAGCACGTGGCAATTGGCAGTAACAACGATGATAATCTTGATAATGAAGTGAGGAATTATTTTGGATATAGAATTGATAGGCAACCACTGCTCTGAGACAAAGATTTCAATAGTCTGACATTTTAGATATGAGACGTACCACTCTGGCGCCTCTTCAGCAATTTCTTATGCTTTTCAATAGCTGTCTTTTGCTCGAGTAAGGACCTCTGAAAGACGACGGTAATAACTGTGACCAACGGAAGTTTGAACTCGTAACAATATGCAGGTCAGCTGGAAGACTTCTAAACCATCTCGAAGCATTGTCTTATTCTATTTCCTGTCTCAGCAGCCAATAGATTGCACATGTCGATACAAGACTGATAAGGCGAAGATGTCATAGTCAAGAGTCACTGCAGATATTGGGCCTGAGAGTAAAACTAGAATGGTAGTGACGGAGGAGATAACCTACAAGTCGGGCTTGTATGTCCTTCGGTGCTTGACCATCTTCCCATACCTCTGAAATCACCGTTCCGGCCCTAACCAAATACAGAGAAATATTTTAGAGTGGTCTTTATTATGTGACCTCCCCTAGCAACCACCCTCCCCCTCAAACGACCGAAATGACCAATTCCAAAGAGAGTATATTTTGGACAATCAATTCTTGGTAAGTTATAGAGACAACGGTCCAAAGAGGAGTTTCTAGTGCCTCACACGATAGTGAAGTATGCAGTCTCTTAACAAGCTACTGAATAAAGACTAAATTATATACATGAAAGTCAAAACTGCTTAAAGCATGCATCAAGAGAGCGTAGAATCTAAACTTCAAATTTACAACCTGTCCGAGACCTTCGAATCCACTATTTGGCATGGTAACTACCTATCGAACAAGGGCCAAACCCGAGGACGTAAAAAAGTATTCTCAGAACGAATAGTGCGTGTGCAACTACTGCAGTGGTGAAATGAGGTTTGAAAAAAAAACAACCATATCAGGGCTGTGAAAGAACACAAGGCACGTTAGTACACGTGCAAAATTGTAAGGGAATAAGAATCGTCGTTACCAATATGTATCCATCTTGGACACAGTTCAGTATCAGGATGGAACAAGTTTTCAAGACCCCTTTAAAACACTTATGAAGTATCTCAAAAAGTTCCTTCCATTGATATAAGCAGCTTTACCTCATGACCCCTATACCACCAAGTCGGGCTACATCTTGTCTGACTTTTACTCTGGCCTCTTGTCTTTCACTCCTGGCAACTGCAATTAAGAGGTCTGACACCACCTTCAATCGCTGCATTACACAGTCGTCATAGTCAAAAAAGGTGGACATGAAAGCTCAGAAGTCAAAAGTAAATATCAATAATTATGTAACCATTCTGTCTCTCGGTGCGATATCTACTGAGGGAACTGACATTGATGACTACTTGCAGCAGTCATGGATGGACTTTGACAATTATATAAAAGACATCATTTGCGCGTTCATTCAGCTTAGAGTAACTGTACACAGAAGATAAATTTAGAAGACAAGCTGGCAATAAAGTTTCATGAATCGAAGTGGCCCGTGTAAGGCGTCTGATGGGGTACTTTCACGATATAAGAGCATAGGAATACCTGTTGCTCGCGGATTTGTTCTTGCTCTTTAAAAATTTTCAAATCCTGTATCAATTTTCAATTGAGAAGTCAGCCATCTTTTAAACACCAGCTCGTCAACTCCACCAGTTGTAAACTACGAAAGTGCACGTACTTAATAATTCTCCACATCACACTATAAGCTCATTTCTGGGATACAACAATAAGTGGGCTATACGACTTAAAAGAACACCTTCTCGAGTTGCTGACAGGTCTGTTGAGTCTCCTCAGTTTCTTGTCGAGCTTTGGCTAGTTCCTCTTGACATAGTGAAGAAGAGATCTTCAAGGAGTCAATCTCTTCCTGTCAATACGAGAATCTGTTAAAGAGGGCCACTTTTCGATTTGCAAAGTTGATACTAAGTTACAGTTTGGATCTATCCGAATAAGGACATTGGAGACAAACATCTTCATATACCTGAACCTTGCATCACTTAAGCAAATAAAACTTGATACGATATTTAGTTCGTAGTTAGCATTCATGCTCTCGTTAAAGGATAAGTCCCCAGCCAGCATTCAGGAGTAGTTTCACGGTAAAGGTAAAAGTTTGATAGAAAGTGTCAGAACTAGACCTTGGAACAACCGTTTCAGGCAGAGGTACTTCTGAGAAGGGCAGGTCACTACTTCTACTCATGGAAACTTCTACCGAATCCACCAGCCAACAGGTAGATCAACCACGAGAAGTTATTATTAACCAGGGCAAACCACATTACGACAACATTTTCATTAGATATGGTGGGTAGTAATTAGTTAGTGCGAAAACTCTGATGGTTAGAATCGTCCAACTCCACCAATCGGCAGTAGTTTTGACAGTGTACACAGAAGAGTAGTACAGAAGGAAGGAGAAGAAGACATTTATAGCTGCTGATCATGTGGAGAAATAAACTACTTAAGCTTTCAGTTCAAAACAATGTTCAAGAAAATCAGAGATACTTCATGGCTAATGACAAACCTCATGAACACAAGAGAATGCTGAAGAGGAAGTAAACACTCAACCTAGCTGGGATACATACAATTTGGGATGCAATCACAAGGCTTAGAATTATCTCAGAAATCAGAGTCCCACTAACACTGAAACGCATGTACTAAGAGAGGCAAGGAGTAGCAAGAAATTTGGTTAGACCATATTGATGGTGTCTGGTTGCCCAGCCTATGCTCATCTCCCACAGAACCAAGCTTTTATAAACATTGCACATAGAAATTTGTAGACCTTGCACAAGGAAAAAAGACTATCGACTGCAAATGGGTCGTCAAGGTGGGTAGAATAACTGTTGCAAGAATATGAAGTAAAAGGCAAGGTTAGTCGCCGCGGTGTAGAGTCAACAACCTTGTATACATTACTATGTATCTTTTGTTCCACTGGCAAAATACGGCTTTTTCTAAACTTATGCTCCACTAGCAAATTATGTTCGTATACTAATGCTGTAAGGTCTAGAGATTAAGAATGACTACAAGATGTACACCAAGACAACCTTCTCTGATGGAAACGTAGAGAGATTTACCTACATGGATGTAATAGATGGTCATTCCATCTCAAATGTAAATATCTGATTTCTTCACTAAGCTTTGTGTGGGCTGAAATAATCCCTCAAGAGTTGGTCCCAAAAGCTTTATGCTTATTTGGGGGTGCAGGGATTCAAGACAAACCACTGTACAAGGATGAAATACTGTACATAGAAACCTACATCTACATGAAGTATACTCTATGGGGAAAGTTATCGTTCATGAAGAATTACAATATAGTTGTGAAGAGTGTACTTTCACATTTACTCCATTTTTTAAATGACAATACTTGGCGATGTGAAATTTTAGTTCGGCATCTACTTTGACCAAAAACTAAAGGAAAGATGGATTCTCTTGATCCCAACCAAGTACATTGAGAGGGGTTGTACATCAGTACATGATGGACAATACAAATCCAGTTTCTAAAACCTTGGAACATGATTGTGAGTTAGAAAAGGAGATGGATGAAAGTGACAAAAAAAACATTGAAAACTTGTAGTGCTTGTCTCATAACGTTCTAGGTTCAATGATTTTATTACTTCTTCAAAAGCTACTCAGAGGTGAGTTTGTTGAGGAGTATGTTGAGTGAACTTGGTATTGTTCAACAAGCTCCAAAAGTATTGATATGTGAAAGAACTTAAGCTGTTGCATTCATAAAAAAACCCTATAGATGATCCTTGTGGTAAAGCATATCTCTACAAGTTGAAGTGAAAGAGGAAGAAGACATGGTTGTTGATGGCACTACTATAGCAAGCGAATACTGTGGTACACAGTACCTGCAGTGATAGAAAAGATATCACCTGGACATGATTCATCTCGCTCACATCTGGATATCAAAACTCAATACTAACTGATTTCTAACAGTACTTAGGAAACAGGAGACGCTTGGTTGTTCAGATTCTCTATCTTAACAAATCGTTCATCAACGACTAGAACAGGATACAGGCAGAATTCTTCCCTCTTAGGATTCATCAACACACCGTGTTGGCGCAATGGATTGGTCTCGTACCTGCATCCTTTCTCTTTCTTCCTCCTCAAGTCCTTTCTGTGCTTCGACAGAATCCTGCGAGACAAAGAGAATGTCCAATCAACAAAGTCAATCAAGTGATAATTTATTTGCGTAGATTGGACGGTAAAGACTTAAATAGTTCTACAAGTCCGACGTTTGTTACTAACCTGGTAAGAATCAGGCCTTACTAATCTTTCAAAAGTTTCTGGATTCCAAGCTAGTCAGGATGGCGTTAGCATGACATATGGTCTCAAACCTTTATGACGATTATGAGTTTCATGAACTCTTGCAACATTTTAGCATCCAATAAACGGCAGAAGGTAAGGAGGCTCTTGCAGGATCTTGTAACTTCTCTACACCATTGTTAGCAAACAGAAAATCAGCATGTATATTCTACGAAAGTGCATCTATTTACATAATGATTCCAGAATTCAAGGTCTAGTCTTGAAAAAATATCATTTCTGCAGATGAAACTAGCGTGAAGAGTAACGGTAATAACAAGTATATTCATGAAGGAAAAGTTGAGAAAGTCAATACAAACCAGAGACGTGGAAAAAAAGGGGGGCATAGAATGAAAACTCAAGAGAATACGACATGGAAGAATTGGACAGGAGAGAGATAACAAAACATGACTAAAGACGTAACAAAAAAATGTAGAGGTGTTACAATATGACAAATGTCGAGGAATGTTAAGGTGGCAAGAGCACAAAAGCCGATAAAAACAAACAGGAAGAATTCAGAGAATCTTCACCCACAGTATAGCATGGGGCTCGCCAATAGCTCAGTGTTTGATCCTACAAATAAAAGTTCGTATCTAAGACTTGAGAAGGTTTCACATATCCTCCCGCGAGTCCCCAGTTTCTAACAAGTGCCGTGCAGAATGATGCAAAGTGTGGACATTCGACATAACTCAATGTGTAGCCGAAGATTTGCTCTTCGGTCATGATGTCAAAACCATACTCTGGTACATTTGTACATTCCTCGAGAGACCATACGACTCGAGGACAGAACGGCTAACAAGATTGCACGGAGCTTAAGACAGAGGGTAGAACTAGCACAGGCACATCGAGCGTCAGGATCGAGAGCATGTTAGTCTGGGTAATCAGTTCAAGCAGTCTGGATCCATGCGTACATGAATCCAACAATAAGAGAAACGTAAGCCGGCTAGAGGATTTCTATTAATAGAGCAATATTTCTTCAAAACACGATCAAACCCCAAGTGCTAACTCCAGGTATTTCATAACAATGTCCGTATAGGAGAAAATGACCAGCTCTTGAATAAGATATTGACGAAACTTGTGGTGATGACGGACCGTATGCATGGACAGCTCACCTGTTTAAAAGAACCGTCATCAAAACTTGAAGGGGTGTCACTTGCAAGTCCCAAGTCGGCGTCAGCCTTCAAGAAAGACCAACGAGGTATACAAGGTTGAATACAAAGCTTGCGGAACTCCTGATTCGGCAGCTGGTTCGAAGAAGCAGGCCTATTACTGCTGGAGCCATAATTCTTAGGCAAACCATCTATGACGATCCTGAAGCCAAACGATTCAACTGGAATATCTACTGGTTCCTGAGAGCTCTTCTTTAATTAGGGGTGAAACAAACTAATTTTGTGCTTATGTAAGTTACATGGCGATCGAATAATGAGAAAAACTATATGAAGGATATTTCTCTCTCCTTGTGATTTCCGATTGTAGATTTGAACCAAAGACAAGACATTCAAACTGCTGTAAATAGGAGGTTTACAGACATAAAAGAAACAGGTGTCTCAAGCAAAAAGGAATATGGATACACACCCCGGCTAAGAAAATGCCCACTTCGATTTCGACATCTTGCATTCACAGTTATGTCAGCCATTGAAAACTTAATTGGTACCACTTCCGAACATTAATTACCTTCAAGATAACCTTTCAGTTTTCTAGGTTTTACAAAATGCCTTAGTGACACCGTCATGACAGAAGACCATATGCCCTTACAAAGGATAGTGAGATAAACAGTGAGATATCGTGAGCATAGGTTGATATTTGTGACAAAAAGCTTGGAGTAGCACAGAGGAGTTGGAGAATCTCAGATCTCCACAGTCGACAGAAGAAAGAAAAATCTAACTCCATAAATAGTATGAATTTTCTCACGATAGCTACATTTGTACTACTTGTTTAAAAGTAGGATATGAAAGAGAAGCAGGATATCGTCGTACAATACTGAAGTATTGCGCGACAAATGTAGCAAAGATGAAGGACGAGCACAGAAGTTAAGACGCATTATTGAGGACAAGAACATACATGAGAACTGGAAGATGCAAACATGTCTGAAAAAAAAATTGTCAGGTGTCCAGTAAGATTGACGGGTGGTGCACAGAACTTGCAACTTAAGCGTTCAAAACTTGAAAAAAATGTGCGTGATCTACAATTGAGTGGATTCCAACCTTGACTTTGAGTAAACGTGTTTTGCTGAGCCCCTGCCCTCGGCCTCTACCTCGTTTCTTCCCTCGACTATTTTCTCGATCAGCAATGTCCTGCTGTTCATATGATTGTTCAGTGTACCGCTTCCCCTCTGCAGCTTCCTAAATAATCAATTACGAGAAATTGTGTGTGAAGTCTTTCATACATGCTCGCATTTGATATTTTAATAAATTCAAACGAGTTTGATGACTTCTAGCATCCGAAATGCGGGAGGATCTACCAGTTGTATAGTCAATTCGCATCTAGTTGCTAATTTATGCTTGTCGGCCTGGAAAATATGAGAAATGAGAGGTGAAAGATGGAGGAAAAGAGGTTCTCAAGTAGTTCAGTAAAATCAGAATTTCTTCAAATGAGAATGTGATTTTTGATAAATGTCGCACTTTCTCTGTATGTGAGGGCTCAGCCAATTTGAAATGAGGATTGGTTATACCTATGGATGATGCTAAGTTAATGATACTATCCAAAAGGTTTCCGAGGGTTCTTTCCAGCATATTATCGCAGTGGCTCTAGCAGACTTGGCTTGATAGTAAGGAAAAAATAATGTGAACGGTACTCATTGGTATGCACCTGTCACAGCCCACCTGTCAGAGCGAACGCCGAGCGGTGCTGATATGACGAGATTGGCCACGCGGAGAAAAATGAGAGACGAGGGAAGACTACTTAGAACTGAACATCATCTCTTTTGTGGTGGAAAATAGGTTATTACGCTGTGCGCTACGTTGTGGGAGCATTGTGGCCAACTAAACAGAGAAATGGAGATGGTGAGATTCCACTAGTGAATCTCAACCCCTTTTTTCAGCATTTATTGTATTGAAAGAGTATCAGAGTCGGATGTCCGATAAGCCATACTTTAACGAACTATTGTAATGGGACTTACAAGGATATCATTTAGTTTGTTTGGACTCAATGATAGAATTTGACATATTCGCTCTTTTAGTTTACTCTAATGAAATTATTATTTCGAAATCAGTTTCGCTATCTATCGCTAAGGGGTTAGGGTTTAAGTAGGATTCAGTCATCAATCACATCATCAGTCACCATTAAACTGGCTCTAAAGTTAGTGCATCAGGCTAATGTGCATTCGAGTTGTAGGAACGAGTAATCGCAAATATTGGTGGTATTATAATTGCTGTTGTTAAAGAAGCAGTGCCAACTATGCCTGTTAAAAAATCCGAAAGAGTAAGAGCTATAATTGTAGGTACGTGTAAAGAAGCAAATTTATAACTCCACAATAACATTGAGTAAAAGCAGGAGCAGCTCTATGAATAGGAAATGTGTAGTAACTTCTACAGGTCCTAAGTTATCTACAGGTTCTCCTAACATATTGAAAATCCGCCCAAGAATCGCTTTGCCTACAAAAAATTGTTAAAGGAGCACCAGTATCAATAACTTTCATACCCCACATCATTCCATCTGTAGCACTCATAGCAACAGCTCTAACTTCGTTACTTCCTAACAATTGTTAAAGAAGATTTATAAGAAGCTTCATGGTGTTAAGGTGCATCACCATGGACAACCTTTTTGTCGTATTTTATTTCCACCATTAACGCCATCATTATTAACTGGAACTACTTTAATTTTTTCTAGAGCTTTAGATGAATATGGTTAATTAGTTTTTGTAGATACTGGACGACGAAAAGGATTCTGAAATTTATTGACATTTTCTGAAAACGAAACTGTTAATAATCCTGCAGGTACAGCAGCTATTAGAAGTAAACCTACAATTTTATTAGGTATAGTACGAAGTATTTTAAAAACTGGGAAAAAAATACCCCCAGGGCCCTGTCAGCCAATCCCAGGTCCCCGGACCTTCGGAACCACAAAGTATCTCGTGTTCTTTGGGCCATTAGTCGAGAGCTTTGGATTTATAGCCCTTCGAAAAACCTGCATTAGACTATTTCGAAGATAAACACTCTTGGAAAGATGGTTGAGTGGTTTAAGGCGTAGCATTGGAATATGTGGGCTTTTTGTCAAAGTTTGAGCCATGAACTTTGTATATATATTGCTTGCACATTTGATATCACATTACTCACCTGGCCAATAGTCGTTGTACTGAGATATTGGATTACTGAGAAGGTGGACGTGGAGTTAGAATCCTAGTTGAGGTTGGATCGGGTAGTGTTGTCTAAGGTTTCTGATATTGGTTGTCTATAGGAGTGATAGCAAACTATTGAAACTACGCCAGGAGAGTTAAGTGGTAATGGTGGTGTATCTTGATACATGCTAGTCATTAGCTGCAAAAGAGTTCAAAATATCAAAAAGTTATATGCCCATAACCTTTTGGAACGATAATAAAGCTAAACTCCTTGAATTATAGAGAATGGTCTCTTGAGGTTGATGAGGCTCTAAAGTTATTTCAAGTTTTATCAAAAACTTGGAAACATTAAGGAGTGTTTTGATGATGAGATGTTCACATTATAACACATGAAATCTTAGACGCTGTTAAAGAAGACTTTGGACCACTCTTACAGAATGATATCTGACTTTTACTATTAGCAAGTAATAGATTAAGTTTAGCAACCATCTGTACATTAGAGTAGGATATGGGTTCTCATTAAATCAGAAGGATTAAATTTGAGACATAAGCAATAGATATAACTTCTAAGTTTACAAAGAATCAAGGTGAGTCAGATTACATACTTAGTAGTTATCGGTAGGAAGGGGTTTATTTTTGACTAAATAGTCTACTGAAGTTGGATTTGTTCTCAAATTAGTAAAGGTTATTCTCTACTTGTGCAAAGGGAGTGACATACAGCTATGGTTACACCACTAGGCGAGTCATCAGGTATTACTGAAAAATCTACAATTCACCCTTCTCAGAATGTGCTGCAGAGAGATTTGAAACTTTAACATTGTGTATGCTGAAGCTAAAATGAATTCAACAGAGGTAATTATCTTCAAGCTTGAAATTTGGACACTATGGTTGCATATATAGCTAGGTTGAACTTATGTTATTCTAGGAATGGTAAATCAGAACTAATCATAAACCTTCATTTATAAATAAAAATGCTAATTTAGAAGAAAGCTTTTAAGAATGTTAATCTAATAAACTTTTAGAGTTAAGAACTGTTGAATGGGGTAAGCCACTATCCTTAAATTAGGCTTTTAAATGTGAGATAAACAATATATAAATATTTTCATTGTAAGCTTGTTAAGAATAAAGATTTTCAGATTTATGCATTAGATTGGCATTATTGGATGCGGTTTTCCTTGCTTTTTTTGGAGTTGGTATTAAACTTTAATTCATCGACTTGAGTAGCAAGGGGAATGATATCGAACTATGGGTACACCAGAAGGTTCATCAAGTGTCAGTGAATGATTTTCAATTCACTCTAGGCAAGTTCTGCTGCAAGATACTTTGAGTAGAAAAATTTAAAATTGCACTGCTTTGTTTATTCTTCCTGAAAAAATTGAATCTTTTATGCTATGCCCTGATGCTATTCCAAAAGAACAAATGACTTGGTTTTGATATTCAGTACTCTCTCGCCGCAGAACTAGACTAGAGTGAACTCTATATTTCTCACTTAAACCTCATGGACTTTCTAGTGTAACAATAGGTTGATATTACTCTCCTTGTCCCTCAATTACACAACATTCCCCTTACTGAGCCCAACTAAAAACAGTAGAGAAAACCACATCCAACATATAACCATTCTGTAATCTGATTCCGCTTTGTGAACTTAAAGAACAATATATAATCTTATGGCTCAAACTTCATTCTCATGCAAAACCCTAATCTAACTCTAAAGTAAAAATGGTGACTAACCCTGATTAGCATTTTCTGTAAAAATTAACCTCTAACTTTTACAGTTCAAGGTAAATCTTTACAGAAATTAACATTTTTATCACTTGATATCACACTTATAACAAGGTGGTAACTTTGGCTCGAAGGTTTGATTAGGAATCAGCTATGCCTGCTGCTGACAGGAAGAAGATATAGACAGAGTGAATGGACAAGAAACAAGTAAAGAGTTTTAAAATTTCTACTCATGTAATGAGGTGATAGAGGGAATTTGAGTTTTCAGTGTCCAAAGTGGAAGAACAAGAAGCGAGGCGTATCCAACTCTTCCAAGTTTGAGGTGAAGCAAGCATCTCAAGAACATAAGTTGGATGGGAATTCCAAAAAAAATTAAGTCTTGGCTGAGGAAATGTTCCGACAATTACATTTACTGCAGTTGCATGGTAGTTGAGAAAGGAGAGAAGTTAAGATTGGTATCTATCTTCAGCATGCAGCTATCACATGAGCTATGAAATTCATTAAAATTAGTACTACACATTACTAAACATGTTATACCTGTAATTCTGACAAGTGTTGCTCATGTCAGAGGTGTATCATCATCCCAAACACATAATAACTGCTGGTTCTGAAGTTGGGAAGTCACTTGGTACTTAATAAAATGGACATAGAAGAAGACAGGTAGATGGAATCGAGGAGGCAGAAGTACAACTGGATATCAAACTGGGATCATTTCCAATACATGTAGTTAAGAATAGAGGGAAGTATGGAAACCTCAACAACATGTTGAGATTTTCCATGCTTCCCTCGAACTTGATTTAACAATGAATGTTGCCCTTAGAAGATCCAACAGGCAAAACTCTCAAATACAATGATTGGAGATTGTTACAAAGGCTGCCGAAGTCTTGATTCAGAATGGTAACGGCATTGAGAAGCTATCTGAACTTTCTGGGATGATGAACCATCTGCATATGCTGAGGCAGCATATATAGCAGACTGAGAAAAAGGTGAACAAGTTACACAGGAAGCAAAGGAATCTCTTACCACACATGGGAGATGGTGAAAGAAGCTAAATGAGAAGGCTCTGGAGAGCTTTGAAGTACAAAGCTAGGCTGATGGCCGAGGGGTATGGACAGAAGCCAGCCTTGATTATCATGAAACCTTTGCTCCAGTACAAAGGTATGGCTCCATCAGAATGCTCTTAGCTCAAAAAAGTTTGACTAGCATGTGATTGGAAAGTACAATAAACTATATTGTAGACTGTATGACTACGCAAAGAACACGCAACAGGCGGTGAGTTTGAATTGATTACTCTCAAAATGGGAGAAATATGTCATTCATCAAAATAATAGCTACACAGATCTCTCAAACTGACAGCAAGATGATAGAGAAAGGCGTTACTAACAAACGGAATGCTCGCTATTCTTCGCATGCTGCAAAGAGCATTCAGCATTGGATTATACGTCTTCAGTTGCAGGAGATAAGGAGAGAATCAGAACCTCCAACTGTACTCCATCATTATCACCCGATTCCTTCATTGTCTTCCGCTTTCGAGGATTTGCCTGTAGGCGAAAGCCGCCACACTCCTGCGATCGCAAAGGGGGTCCAACGGTAAGATAGTCAACATGTGTTATGCAGACACAAAACAGGTCAACACACAGTGGCTAAATCTGCCAAACGACATCTCCATGGAAGGGATATCACAGCGGCTTTTGACGATTCGTAAAAGCACACAACGAGGATAGAGTACCATATTCAATCAAACTTGTGTACAAAATGATAAGCACACAGAATGGCTAGAATATAAAAACTGTCCTCACTAACATGTGCCTGTCATAACCTCAAGACCATAGACCGCACGAGCAGTGCTCATGTGAAAAATGTGGTGGATAGACAAGACGGGATAGAATTAAATGGAAACGAGAGAAGACTCCTCTCCTCGTGGTGAATTTTTTCCCATGAATACTTTAGTTCATAGTTTCAAGTATCAAACTATGACTCCAAAGCGCGGCTACTTCGTGCTTTAGACTACACCAGAAAAACTATTCGTGAAAGCGCTACCTCCTCCCTGTTTATGTTCTTTCATATCAGCTTTCTTTTTCGCGTAGTTCTCACCTAAGTCATCTGAAAATTCCCAGGTGTCTAGGACGAAACACGAGGATCAACTGGTTTTCTAGAAGGAAGAGAATATATCACGCATAATGAAAAATGATGCACGATGCATGTGATGAACTGGAGCGCACAAGGAGTGCACATCTGTATTCAACCAAGACAAGATACTGTTACTCACTCTCCACTCAATGGTAATCAAGGTGCAAAAGCTAAGAGAGAAATGAGAAAAATAAGGCAGGAGGAGGAGAGTTATATTGTTGAAGAAAATATGTAGACGAATATATGTGTGGCTCCCCGCCGCTTTGATTAGAAAATTTCGTATCCCATATGAAGGCGTGAATATTCCCAGTGCAGTGTGCTCTGGGGGAAACGTCTTTCTACTCAATGAATGAGATGTGTACCAACAGATCAGCATTTCCTATTTTCATGAGTTACATCATGACAAATAAATAAATTGATATTTGAGGTGCAGTGGGCCATGGGTTGCATGAAAATGACGGCCGAATTCAACGGAAACTTCACGGCTCGGCAGTTCGCCTCTACTGTCAGAAATGTGAAGACCTATAACTATCAACGACTTCTCATCCTACCAATAGATCACCACTTGCTGTACCTTAGTAATATCTAGAAGAAAGTCGTCTACAAGTTGTGCGTGTCTGAATGATACGAAGTGTCTACTGCTATCCAGATAGAAGTGGGTTACATGATCACACAACTTGTAAACTCTTAACAAACTACACGGCCACAGGCTGTACAGAGCTAAAATTGAAGAGCTCAAACTGTCAAGGACCTGTCATCGTGCCAACAAATCACAACTTGCTGAGCCTGCATAATATGTAGAAAAACGTCATGAAGAATGCGTGAATGAGTGAAAGATAACGTCCACTGCCACACAAACTTCAAGCATCGAGTTCGTCTTTGAGAATCTCAAATAACTGAGCAACTAAGATTGTCAACGAGCTGTAATAGTACCAACAGTCAACACTTGCTGTGCTGAAGTACTATCTGGAAGAACGTCATGAATACGACATGGAGAACTTTAACGTCCTCTAGTGTCCAAATGGCAGTGGGTTCCATGAAAAGAACATGTACACTCTGTACAAACTTCGCGGCTTAGAAACTCGTCTTTGGCGTCAACGTTAACATAAAGAACTACTACAACAACGAGCAGAGTGCTAACATAACATCAGAGTGCTAACATAACACCACTTGTGCAAGAATAAGATCAATGAATAATGCACGAAGTGAAAACTTCCTGTAAAATTTCCTCCGGGAAATAGACAGCAGTAGGTTGAGGAAAAGCAACATGTGAGCTTTAATAAAAATACACGCCTTAGACATTCGTCTATAGTGACTCTTATAAATGAAGAACTAAAATATTAACATAATGTCATAGCACCAACAGATGACCACCAATATTGCATGAGAAATATCTAGGACAACGTTATGGAGACTGCATGAAAGAGTGAGACTTAACGTCCGCTGGCATCCAGATGGCAGTCGGTTGACTGAACACAAGTTGTGCAATCTAAAACAGTTACAAATTTCACAGCTCAGAAAATTCGTCTCTAGTGACTCAGATAACTCAAGAATTGACATTGCCCGCAAACTTAAACTGTTATGGATACTGCATGAGAGAGTGAGACTTAACGTCCGCTGGCATCAAGATGGTAGTAGGTTGAATGAACACAAGTTGTGCAATTTAAAACAGTTACAAATTTCACAGCTCAGAAAATTCGTCTCTAGTGACTCAGATAACTCAAGAATTGACATTGCCCGCAAACTAAAACTGTCAACGTACTCCCGTTGTACCAGCAGATGAACACTAGTTGTGCATGAGTAGTACCTAGAAGAACGTCATGCAGAGTGCAACATGGAGTGAGAGTTGACGTCCACTAGTCCTGAGATGTAAGCAGGTTGCAGGAAAAAATATTGTGAACTCTATAAATATATATTAAGAAGACATAAAGATACGGAACAGACTTCACTATCTTTACCTTCTTGCTGTTGACCTGAGTCAGAACCTTGAGTTAAATTGTCGAGGAGTGACTCCATGAGCATGCATATAACGAAGCAACCAGCCTCCTTTCACATCTCTTATGATGTGTTCTACGCGTAAAAAGCTAGATCCATATGCATAATGCATAGCTAAGACAATGTCGTCTCTTAGATACTACGAGAATTAATCAGAACCCGTAACCAAAGTTAGATCTCTTGAAGTAAGTTTCACTCGTAGTGATTTCATTTGAATTCTCCTCTGATTATCAGCAATCAGAGCAGTGACATGTGCTCCGAATCTGTTACACAATATCCGTTACGCATGTAGGTTTATATTATACGCTAGGGAGATGATCCTAAATGTGAATGTAAATTATGCAGTGTCCTCAGAGATAGAGGGACACCTCAGATGTAAACCTTCTATCCTGGAACATATGAAAAGATGAACTTAAATTCATCTGATTTTTTCACGTATCATTATATGTGTACACATGATTCAAATGCATCATGTGTACCTGAGAATATAGATACATGCATTTGCTTGATATCCATCTCTCAAATTAGACGCATACGCAGGATAGGATTACTGGGGAATATGTGTACGTTTCCACATAGATATAAGCAGCCACCAAATTCCAGCGTGTGCTTATGCACATAAAAGACCAAGAAAAATTTTGTTCGTGCCAGAAGATCTGAGACGAATGATGAAAATATTTAAATTTTAGCTCAAACGTCCTCAACGTATCAAAAGCTGACATACATCATATGCAGAGCCAATTTCAGCTCATTACATGGACGAGAGACTCAATAAAATCTCGAGATGTAAGAATTTGCGGGACAAATCTTCATTTCTTTGGACGAAATGAACGACTGGAACTGAGTTTACTGTAATCGCATGCATTCAGAGTCTGCAATTTCTATAACCAGTGCTTCATTGCTTCTTACACGTGCGGACGAATGTTCCAACAAGAAGATGAACGATCGCCGAGAAAGTTTTGCGGAACACAAGTAAAACGTGCAGACAGTGTAAGATTGAATAGCAAGCAATACCTCGTCCTCAGAATCCGTCGACGACGAAACCAACACTTGGTGGCCAAAAGTTGGATAGGCCGAAACTGAAAGTGATTCCTGTCGGCCCGATTGTACGACCAGCTGCGACGCCCTACCGGCCATACGGGCTTCCAACTTCGCAATTTTAATAGGCAGAGCCGGATCTGAAGGATTGGAGTTGGAGTTGATGGACGAGAGTTGCAGCAGAACGTCGTCATGCATCGAAAGCTGTACAATGTTATCCTGGGCTTTTGAATTGGCCATTAGAATTGAATTTCAGTTACATTCGCATTAGTCTTTTGAATTTCTAGCCCTTGTACCCTAGGTGGTTGTTCCGCCTTCCAGAGCCTCTGTAATCTCCGTCGAAGGTCTCAACTATCAATGCTCCCGATACTCTAGTCATGCCCACTTGACAGAGGGGATCAATCCTCTGTACATCTTGGAATCATGCAACCTGTACGTCGATGTTCTCCAAGTTGTGCTTACGCTTTGAAAGTCATTTCTAAGCAGCCTACACGAGGCAACTGGCACAGCTTTGAAATCAAATCGTACGCCTCGACATGACTTCATTCGAAATTATGTACACATATGACCCTTCGATTCTGTGTCAGGAAGTTTTCCAGAAGCGAGAATAACTTGCTTGGAAAATTGGGGGCAAATTGCTTTGCAATCTCATCCTGCACTTTCACGAAAACTGTGTGCAGAAGTACACCCTCACCAAGTCAATGCTCCAAAAAAATTCCAGAACATACCAGCGTCGACGTGCAATGTCAAGGCTGCTGTTCAGAAAACATCGATGCAAACATCAAGACAGAGGTCCAATCATTGTCGTAATACTTGCACTGACAAACATCACAGCAATGAAACGGCCCTCCTCTCAGAGATGTGAAAAGGGCCGTTTCCCTTCTCAGACCGCTTTTGCGCGGGAAAAGCTTCAATATACTGGTTGGAGCCAGTCGTCTTCAGGTGTTGCCGGTCACACTGCATGATATATTTCACAAACAAACTGTGTGAGGTCCAACAATCGAATTTTACAGTTCTTATACTCCTGATCTGTATCACGATTTGTCAACCCACGAACTAAAACTGCGATAAATGTCAAAAAGGGTTTTAGCAATTTCATGGAAGCAAAAGTCAAGCGCAAGTTGCCTGATAGACTCATTGTAAGGATATGGGTAGATTTTCCAGAATATGATTGATAAACTTTTGTTCAGGCTTGTATAGTGAGACATACAAGTATCACCCTAGTCACTACTTCATTCTCTTCGATTTATTATAGTCAAAAACTTGACACTGTGTTTTCCCCAGAGCCATAAATTCTGTTGTGAATGGAAAGAAGTTCAACTGTTGGTGCTTTTTATACGTGAAGGCTTATTATTACTGGAATTTTTTGGTTACATTCGGAAGGCACAATCGCGTCGTAGCCTATGGATAGATACATTTAAGTTAGGAGAACATGTATCCCGTTGCACTCTTCCGTGACTGTGAGATCATCTTTCAATGCATAAATGACGCTCATTATTAGTTTCTATCGTCTGACTGGGTATATTCAACCCTCACAACTCTCCACCTTTGCATTTTGTTATTTCACAGAGAGCACCCGTAGTTCATCTACAGATGTAGGACTTTATTACAGGTTTGTTGGAGAAATTTATGGGGTTTATGGAAGACTACTCTGGGACTTCAAGAAAGACATAGTAGGGGATTGAGCAACTCTCAACAAACTTATTCCTCCCTCATCAAAGTAATTGTTCGATTGATTTCAACATGTCCATCAACAGAATACTGTATGAGCAAATACATGAAATAAATCTCGTATAAGTATGCAACAAAACTGAGAGAAGTAAATTATTTTCCTGGAATGTAGATGTTGTTCAAACCTGCAATTTCATTCACATAAAGAGCATGGATAGTACTGTGTGCCATTTCACAATTTTATAAATGTTACGAGAAATATGTAAATGTCTTGGAGGTTATGGGCCAGTAAAATACCTGATCTATAACTGCACATCCTGTGAAGACCTCTCGGATTGTATACATGAAATAAGAGGTTTTTAATTGAGTAGCATATGCTATAAGAACGGAGACTCCTAGATTTCTGCTAATACTCATAATCCTTTAATTTATGTTCATTTTCAATAGTCTGTGCTATGTGGGGTTGACTTTATTCTCTCTCATGCATAACTAGCACTCAGTTTGAGAGCACATCTCTGATTTTCATCACTTGATTAATATCTCTTATTTAAAAGCTCTGTGAAAAAGTTCAGTTGACGGCAAAATCACAGATGCTGGAATGCAGTGTATATGCACACAAGCGTCAAGTTTTACATATTGATTGGTAACTTACTTCTGATGACATACTGATTGCATTTTCAATTTTCATAAATGATACAAAACTATGTACCATTTATATACACAAACATCACTCCGATTGTGAATGTATGTAGATCCAATACTTTAAGCATATGGATCACATGTTTTTTACATATTTTTTGAAAATTAGGAATGTTTTGTTTTTATTTCCTCTTCCATAAGAGATCAATATTCGATTTAGAAAATTTGCGAGAACTATCTTCAAACAAGCTAAACTGCATTACCGGACAAAGAAACAGCCCGGGATACGTACTGTTCCACTAAGTGTGTTTTTTTTATATAAGAAAATATCATTTTAAGTAAATTTCATAATTTTTTAACAATATTATCCAAAAATTTGTATTCTTGGTATGAATATGATATTTTGATCAATAATGGCTTGATTTGAAGATTTTAAACATATCTTTGAATTATAATTCAACTTTGCAAGTTGCATTTTAACATATTACAGTATACGAATAAATTACGATATCATAATCTGAGATACAATATTCGATCTAATATCGTTATCTGAGAGATAAACAGATAAATATGTGTCTATATATATATATATATATATATATATATATATATATATATATATATATATATATATATATATATATATGAATGAATGATCTTAAGCACTTGGTATTATAACCCATTGAAACTTACTTTTTTGCTAAGGATAGTGCTTCCATTTAACGCTAAACAAGACTTTATAATTTCTTAATCGAAAATTCGTCATTTTGATGGCTGTAGGCGGAAGTATGTCAAAGGGAACTGGTTTTATTGCCATAGATGGATTCCAAACTTGTTTCTCATGTTAGCTTCATGAGAAAAGGTGTGGGTGTCACAAACCCATCAACGCAAATCCACATGGGAATATATTGGGTCACTTACATTAGTTGGCAATTCATGTATGGGCCTCAACGTAGATAGTCTAACCCCTCTTCTCTCATACTAGATATTTAAACCCTTGGCACCGTTCACGTTTGTCTCTTTGTATTGTGATACTTAATTGAAGAGGAGAAATGACGTTACAGCGGGCTATGACTGTTGTCACCCTCTTTAAGATTCAAAACTTGAATTAATTGACATATCTCTTGATGATTTCCAATACCTTGAAGTCAGATTTAACTGTTATTATACGCAGAACAGAACATGCTTTGATTTTTATTTAACTGCTCTCACGTTCTAACTTAATGAGAGAATAAGATGAACTAAGGGGCGGAAGTTTTCAAGATTCCGTCCATCCCTACGGAAGAGGGCAGTGTGACGGAGTCAAATGGATGACGACCTTTCTCGTTCAATTGGTCAAAAGACCGCTGCCCCAAGACGATGGAACCACAACGTAGGTTTGAAAGCTGACCTCCTCACGGGCGAGGAATCTTCACGAACACATTTCCCCTAAAATAGTTTCTCACCGAAGGCTCAAGGACATCTTTCCTCTTCTTTCAGAGCTCCGAGCGGACTGCTTTAACGTTGCAGCGCTCTTGTTCGATTTTGAAATTCCAAATGAGCAACGAGTTGTCTAACATCTGCCGAAAGAGTTCGAAATTTCGAGTTTGCATTGGCGGACCGTTAGTCACTAGCTGCTCGAGAGGAAGCGTTAATGTGGGGGAGTACGTGCAGCGCAAAGGAGCGCCCGGAGTTTCAATCGGGAAGGTCGAGAGCAAGTTCTGGACAGAAATAGTAGAGGAGCGACAAATATCCGCGCTAATGATTGACTTTGGGAGTTTAATTTTTCCTCCCAGGCTCTATCCGAGCTTTGCCGTGGGGAGACCCCGCGGGGAGGCGAAGAGGATGGAGCGCCGGGTTCGCGGTCAATCCAAGAGCGGGCAGAAATGAAGACGGCGGCAGAAGCGGTAGAAAGGGGAGAGCCAACAAATCGCGGTTGCCGAGGAAGGTTAGATCGGAGGTAGCGAGGTGGAAGAAACCGGAGAGAGGATCAAGCGCGGTTACCCAAGAGAGTGGGATGGGAGGTGGCAAGGTTGCAAGGTGGCAGCCAAGTCAAAGGTACACTCCGGCCGGAGGAAGGCACGAAGGAAGCAGCATCGGAATCCGACGTCGAGTTCCGTCGGCCGCGAAGGAAGGCCGTGTTGGAGAGCGTCAAAGAGAAGGCAAGACGACGGAAGGGCGGGCCGCGGGCGTTGTTGCATCATGGTGACCATGCATGCATAGCATAACATAGCATAGCATAGCATCCCGGTGCGCTCTAATAAATCATCACATCGATACACATTCATGAGAGCATGTCGTTGTGGACGCGAAGGGCGCGCGAGCGAAGAGAAAGGATGGCGTCGCGGGCGAAAGGGAAGAAACGGTAGAAGGGTCGACGCGAGCAAAGGATAAAAGGATCATAATGCTTCCTTCCAATGATGAGGGGAAGGGCAAAGAAGAAGGAAAAGGGAAGCGCACTAGAGACGAGGCGAGCCTAATTGTCGAGCGTCCGCCGGAAGAGAATGGCAATTAAGGCCGAGGTAATCGGCGCGGTTGAGTTGGGTTGGGTTGAGTTGGGTCGGGTCTTGTCGGGTCGGGTAAGGTCAGGTCCGGTCCGGTCGGGGTTGGGTTTAGAGGAGGGAAGGGGAGTGGGGGGTGGGGGAGCGTAGCCATAGAGGAGGAGGAGCGGGATGGAGATGGAGAGGAGAGGAAAATTAAACAAAGGGGGGCGGGGAAGGGAAGAGAGAGTGAGCATGATGATGGCGTCCCCTCTCGATTGTGCGTCGCCTCTTTCTATCTGTGGATTGGCGTGCATCGCTGATGATGTTGTCGTCGATGCGTGGGTCGTAGCGGGTAGTAGCGAGTAGCGAGTAGCGAGAGCAGAGCGAGAGCAGCAGAGGAGAGAAGAGCGGGGAAAGTGGGAGGAGGGCCGAGGGGAGGGGGAGAAGTAGTAGAGGAGAGTAGCAGCGAGTAGTGTTGGCCAGGGAGGGAGGGAGGGAGGAGCGAAGGACAGGGAAGGGGAGGGGGAGGGAAGGGGAGAGGAGGAGGAGGAGAGAAAGGAGGAGGTCGAGGAGAAGAAGGGAAGGGGGCGAAACACAGGAGGAAGGGGAGGGGGAGATTTTTGGTCTGGTCCATCTGGTGTGGAGGTGCTGGCCTGCCTGTCTGCTTGCTTCGCCTCGCCTCGCCCCGCCTTGCCTGCCTGCCTGCCTGCCTGTGCCTGCGTGGTGTGGTTGCTTGTTGTGCTGCTTGTTGTTGTTGTTGTGTTGTGCATCGGGTCGCGTCGGGGCCTGGCTGGTGGTATCGCAGTGTATCGCATCTCTTTCTCGGAACAGGAGAAGGCCGAAGAGGGCAGGGAGGGAGAGAGCGAGAGAGAGAGAGAGAGGCAGAGAGAGGGAGAGGGAGAGAGAGAGAGAGAGAGGGAAAGAGGCCAGCAAGGGTGGAAGAGGAGAGGAGGAGGAGGAGGACGGGAAGGAAGGGAGGCGTATCAGTAGCCATCGAGAGTCGCTTGCTTGGAGTCCCAGTTGTCCGTGCGAGGGAGGGGAAGGGGTTAGAGAAGAGATAGAGAAGCGAAGTGGAAGCAGAGTTTTTCCGCTTGCCTCGGGCGCTCGCGGTATCTGTCGTGTGTTTATATCTTATCATCATCACAATCATCATCGCGGTCGGGGTTTTATTTTTCTCCAGTGTCGCTCCTCTGTCCTGTCTCTCATCGTATTCGCGCCGTTTTGAGATCTTGTAGCAGACACATGCCCAGGCAGACGCAGAATTGAATTAGGCTGCTGCAATGACTATGATGGCGGCCCCTCTCGATGTGCGTCGTCTCTATCTATCCGCATGTATTCGATGTAGTTTGCTTTGCGATGCCCTTCTTCTTGTGTTGCTTCTTTAGGTTCTGTTATCGTCATCTTTTGGAAGTCTAGCGTGCAGATCTTTGCATCGCGAGCACGCGCACCGCCATTCCGCATCGCAATTAGGCTGCATCCTCCATCACGATGCTCCGTGTAGTCGCTTCCATCCGACGTTTTCTGTCCTAGGGTGGTTGCTTTTGATGTCTAAGCAAGTGATGCATGTTAGGGCAGCGTGTTTTGTTCACCTGCCCCGTGTGTCGCGGACGATCCCTTAAGCTTTGATCGGTTCATGGTGACAGGAAGACGATGACATGTTGGTTCCACCGGCAGATTTCAACGAAGGCATAGAAGCAATGGAAGGTGTGTTTTCCTTCTCTTTCAATTTACTGTCTCCCTTCCCATCTGGTCGGTTACAGGTCCTCACTCATCAGCATTCCCTTTGGCAGTGGTAGGGCAAGGAGAGACGGTCTCCACAGCAGAGAATCAACCAGTGGATGATCCCCAGACAGGAAAATTCACTTGGACTATAGAGAATTTCTCGAAGATAAATCTGAGGAAGCATTACTCCGAAACCTTCAAGGTCGGAGGATACAAATGGTATGTCTATTTCTCCGTCGTGCAAGATTCTACAGCTTGCCTTTTTAAGAAATCAGCGTTACGCACTCTTGACTTATCCGGTGGCTGAGCGGAAATGGCGTGTGATGCAGGCGCGTTTTGTTGTTTCCCAAGGGCAATAATGTGGATCACTTATCAGTCTATTTAGATGTTGCGGATTCAGCATCGCTACCTTATGGCTGGAGCAGATTCGCGCATTTCAACTTGGCTGTCATAAATCAGTTTGACGCCAAGCTCACTGTAAAGAAAGGTTCGGCTCAACACGTTTTTGGATCAAGTATCTTCTGTTCATAATCAACAGGGCTCATTGAGCGATTCGCCGGGGCACGCGATGATCAATTTTGCTTTGTACCGCGATTGACACTCTTTTCTTCCAATGATGAATACCAGCGGAATTTTGTGCTCTGTTTTTAGGGCACAGTTTGCAGTAAGAGTTGGAAACCTAGCCATTCACGAATAAGAAAACAACTCTTACTGTTAGATGTTGTCTGCAGACACGCAGCACCAATTCAACCTCAGAGAAAGTGATTGGGGTTTCACCTCGTTTATGCCCCTGCAAGACCTTTACGACCCGGCGAGAGGTTTCTTGGTGAATGACTCACTCATTGTGGAAGCTGATGTGAATGTGCGTAAGGTTGTTGATTACTGGGCCTATGACTCCAAAAAGGAGACTGGGTTTGTTGGCTTGAAAAATCAAGGTGCAACATGTTACATGAACTCCCTTCTACAAACTTTGTATCATCTCCCTTACTTTCGAAAGGTACGGCCCTCTTTCCAAATTTCCTACTCTGCCTATTAAGTTCATGTACGCTTGACATGGGTTGGTGTTCTTTCTACTCACATAACGTCTGGGTGTCATGTGAGCAGGCCGTGTATCATATGCCGACAACAGAAAACGATGTGCCCTCTAACAGCATTCCACTAGCTCTTCAAAGTCTATTTTACAAAATCCAGTACAGTGACACAAGTGTTGCGACTAAAGATCTTACAAAATCTTTCGGATGGGACACGTACGACTCATTCATGCAACACGATGTTCAGGAGCTCAACCGGGTTCTTTGCGAGAAGCTAGAGGATAAAATGAAGGTTTGTTTTGTTTTCAGTCACGTTCTACTACACGCCGCCTTTGATTACATTGAAAGCGAGTGTCCTGTTGGTAACCTACCTGGTCGTTGACTGTGGATGCTTCTACCGGGTAATTTTGTAGGGCACTGCTGTCGAGGGAACAATCCAGCAGCTTTTTGAAGGTCACCATATGAACTACATCGAGTGTATCAACGTTGACTACAAGTCAACACGCAAGGAATCGTTCTATGGTAACCTATTGAATTAAAGATTGCTATATGTCAAGTTTCATTTTTTGCCATATCTTTTACTTTTCAATATTTGGAAATTTATATCTGGACTGAACGTGCAGATTTGCAGCTCGACGTCAAGGGCTGTAAAGATGTCTATGAGTCATTTGACAAGTATGTCGAAGTGGAAAAACTGGAGGGTGAAAACAAGTATCATGCTGAACAGTATGGCCTCCAGGTCCGAAGTAGTTCCGCACATTTCCTCCTCATGTTGATCAGTTAAATGTTCCTGCGTGCGAAGCACTCATTGGTCATACATTGTCCCCAACAACCATGGCCTCCTTAATTTACTTCGCTTAGTTCACCCTAAATTCTACTGAAGCGCTTTCTTTGTAATGCCAGGACGCTAGGAAAGGTGTGCTCTTTATCGACTTTCCTCCCGTTCTTCAACTCCAGTTGAAACGGTTTGAGTACGACTTTATTCGCGATACTATGGTCAAGGTGAGGTCCTAGTTCGGTCCAGTAGTTGTTGATATGTGCTGATTTGTGAACCTTCATGCCTTTCGGTTTACGACTCGAATATGAGCGGTGTTGTTCACCTGTTCCGTAGTTCCTCGTATACGGACTTTCTCTGATTGAACTGTACGACCCAGGCGAATACACTCTGAGTCTCTTGTCCTACAGGTCACCCGTACCGGATTTGTATCTAGTTCATAGGCTTCTCTGAGTTTTATAAACTCATCTGCGACTATGGAGATACAACGATTTGTTCTGTTTCTATAATGATGATTACATCCTATATTTAGGCAACGCAATATCTGGGCTCGATATGGACAATTCCGCTGGTTTTAGCTATTAGTGTTTATTGCAAATGAGAGGCAGTGGATTACAGACCAGCCTTGTGACCAGAGGAGATATATAACTCCACTATGACTTGTATTGCAGATCAATGATCGCTACGAGTTCCCCTTACAATTAGATCTCGACAGGGAAAATGGAAAGTACCTGTCTCCTGATGCGGATCGGAGTGTACGCAATCTGTATACTTTACACAGGCGAGTTTTGTTTTCCTCGCTATAAGACTATACCCAATGCCATCTCAACTAGACCTTTCTCAAATGTCGGTACTACTTCCGCTCAATATTGGTTGATTCTTTATTAGCCCTTGTGAAACAGATCGTGAGGTTATGAATCAAACATAAAGAAGTTGACTATACGTATTTGATAAACTTCGAAACCGTTTGGAATGCAGTGTCTTGGTTCATAGCGGTGGTGTGCATGGAGGACATTACTATGCCTTCATCAGACCCACTCTTTCCGATCAGTGGTATTGTATTCAACTCTGGAGCCATTTTAACATTTTTGTAGTAGCAGCCATTGCCGACGAGCAAAGACTTGCAGTCTTTGTATTCAGTGGTACTTACGAAAAGATAATCAAACCAGGTACAAGTTTGACGACGAGCGGGTGACGAAGGAAGAGTACAAAAGAGCTCTTGAAGAACAGTACGGTGGAGAAGAAGAAGTAGACGATCTACACCTTTGAGCTCGTAGAAGGATGTTGTGAATTTCAGTTCCCTTACCTATTTTCTGACTCTCAGCTTTCTTTACATCTTTTGCTCCGGTCATTACGCATTTCATATATTTGATTCTACGATTTTGGTCGCAGTTACCGCAGACCAATCCAGGCTTCAACAACGCACCATTCAAGTTTACAAAGTACTCGAATGCATACATGCTTGTCTACATCAGAGAATGTGACAAGGATAAAGTTATCTGCAATGTGGATGAAAAGGATATTGCGGAACATCTTCAAGTAACTATCTATAAGCTTTGAGGACCCCGATGCATATCTGCTCATTATTTAGTTCTCTGAATTCTTGAAAACAGAGTATTAGTTCCATAGAGCATTCCTTACTCACTGCAAACCCATTCACAACCTTTGCTCTGTGTGGATCTCCTGCTAGGCACGGTTGAAGAAGGAACAAGAGGAGAAAGAACGGAAGCGGAAGGAGAAAGCAGAGGCCCATCTTTACACCATCATCAAGGTAGCGTAATTACTCGTGAGAGGAGGAAGTGGATCTAGTTTCATTTTTTTCACGTGCTTGAATTCTGGAGTAACTCTTTGAGTGAATACAATACTTGGTATTAGTTTTATTGACCTAAGTTATGAGAAATTGGCGTAAAATTTAGTTCTTGCTCTACTTCCATTTGTCGAAGGCCTCCAGATGAGGCTTACTCTTTGTGCATCACCTCTGTGTAGGTGGCTCGAGATGACGACCTTGAGAAGCAAATCGGGAAGGATATACATTTTGATCTCGTTGACCACGACAAAGTTCGGAGTTTTCGAATCCAGAAGCAGACTTTGTTCACGCAGTTCAAGGTATGTTTCACAACTGATGGATGAAGATCCCTGACTGTACTAACTATCCCACAATTTAGTCTTTCAACCTCGCCAGGTTGGAGTTGTTGGGAGGTGGTTTCCTTATTAGACCCAGCCACAGGAATGACGTATGTTTTATATCTTGGGTAATGATTGTTCTACATTTTAGACATCAAGCTAAACAGAGTTAGTTCTTCTGCTGAAAATATGTACATTACAACTTTCCTCTTACCTTGTGTTCAATAGGAAGAAGTTGCCAAGGAACTTGGCATCCCAGTTCTGTGTCAGCGATTTTGGCTGTGGGCAAAACGGCAGAATCATACCTATCGCCCAAATAGGCCTCTAAACGAGCAGGAGGAATTGCAGACTGTAAGCTATCTCTCTAAATTTTGTCTGTATTCACTAAATCTTTATAAAGTAGTTATTATATCAATTATGTAAATCTTTCTCTGAACACGGGGAGTTTTGCAGGTGGGCCACTTGAAGGAGGCATCAAACAAGGGTCACAATGCAGAGCTCAAGCTCTTCTTGGAAGTACCACTCCAATTTTTTGTATGTTATTTTCTGACTATGGATTTCTCATATACCCTTGAGCTGAAACGAGGCAACTTATGATTTTTTATTCAATTTCTGAATTTACATGAGTAGCTCTTGGTATAGTACTTTGTTGTCGTGTCTTTTAATCTTGGATTTAGTACAGATTCTAAGGACCATCTTGGCAATAACAGTAGATGAATGATTCTTACTCCTGTACGCAGGAAGCATTGTTTTACGTAGTTTATTTCACACTATCGTGTGAAGTAGTACATCTATGAATTTATCAACTGTTTTGTTACTTTGTATTTATTTCTGTACATGTCTCTACTTTCGTCTTCCCTTGTGCTTATGGATTGACTTTTTGCAACAGGACCAGAAAATTCCAGTTGCCCCTCCAGAAAAGACTAAGGAGGACGTTTTGCTATTTTTTAAGTTGTACACTCCTGAGAAGGAGCAGTTGAGGTTAGTTACTTTCGAAAACTGGGACACCATTGCGTCAGAATCTTTGCTCATGATCAAATTTCACTGTGTCGATTGTCCAGGTCATAATTTGGCAAATTGACTACGGTGATGTAGGTATGTTGGGAGAACTTTTGTCAAGGCCGGTGGAAAGCCTACAGATATCTTGGAGAGGTTGTGTGATATGGCTGGTTTTGCACCGAACGAGGAGATCCAACTGTATGAGGTATAACATGTCTTATGCAGGTTTAGGATTCTGTGCATGTCGGTGTGCAATGCTGTTCATTCGCTGAATCTATGGGAACAGTTTTCCGTATGCTTCAGGAACCGCAGAAGAGATGCTCACATCTGTCATACATAGCAGCAGTGTTGTTTCATCTTTTTGTCAAAGATTCAGTGTTTGTATAGGATGGATGCAGCTAGCTTAGATAGTTACCTTTGTTTCAAACTCTCCCATGTGGAGATATGTAGTTGCTGTTTAGATGCTGAAGTATACTTCTTGAAATCTACAGGAAATTAAGTTTGAGCCCAATGTGATGTGTGAGCATATCGACAAGAAGTCTACATTCAGGGCTAGTCAGGTTAGTCCTGTTTTCCTAAATACAAATCACTAGATGACTCTAGATTCTCTTTTTTGGTGGTGTTCAACATCAAATGGACTGGCTCTAGATTTCTCTATGACTTTCTTAGTTTCTCAAACTTAAGCTTGTATGGTTTGCTTTACATTGAAGCTGCAAGATTTTATCCTATAGTATGTGTCCTGTTTTGTTTCTCATGACCTCCTTGTTTGGACTGATATCAGCTTGAGGATGGTGACATCATCTGTTACCAGAAGGCTCTGACAAGAGAAGAGGAAGAACATTATCGCTATGCTGATGTGCCTTCGTTTTTGGAGTATGTTCGTAATAGACAGGTAATTCCTCGCGAGTAATTTGTATTTTAACAGTTTGGGAAAGGTTAGTTGGTCAGTAGGTGATTTACTTGTTTGTTTGCCATTTATAATTTTGGCTAGGGCACCGTTTGTTTTGTCACTAGTCTGTGACAGGCTAATATTAATGGGTAAAGCTTTCGCTATCTATTAGCACAACTGATGTACAACGTGATCCGCATGAAGGTTGTACATTTTCGACGCTTGGAGAAGCCGAAGGAAGATGAGTTCTGCTTAGAGCTGTAAGGCCACTCTACCATTTTCTCTTAGTGATTATGAATATGACTCTGTCACATCTCCTAGCCTGTTGTGAACAAGTATTAGTGGTGATCTTGGCTACTCTGCCATTTTATCTTAGTGATTATGAATATGACTCTGTTACATCTCCTAGCCTGTAGTGAACAAGTATCAGTGGTGATCTTGGCTAACTCTCATCTTTGTACTCCCATCTTGCAGATCTAAACAACATACCTATGACGACGTGGTGGAGAAAGTTGCCCAGCAATTGGCGTTGGAAGACGCCTCTAAGATTAGACTGACTTCGCACAACTGTTACTCTCAACAACCGAAGCCACAGCCAATCAAGTACCGCGGTGTCGAGCGCCTGAGTGACATGCTCGTACATTACAACCAGGTATGGAGATGTCAAGTTTCTTTGACATGGAAGTAGCTGAACATTCTAATAAACTGTAGGCTCGCCGAAGCCTGGAAGATTGCACCAAAAGCATATGATGTGTTATTCATCTGTGATTCTCTACTTTGGATCATCACGTCCATCAAAGCCACTGTGTCGAATTTGGTTTTATTCGAATTATCACTCGATTGGTGGTTTGATTATTTGTTTTGTTTGTAGACGTCGGACATCCTATACTTCGAGACATTGGATTTACCTCTCCCAGAGCTGCAGGGGCTGAAGACTTTGAAAGTTGCCTTCCATAATGCCAAGACAGAGGAGGTAAACATATTTTCCATTTTAGTTTTTCCTTTTCTTCTGTACATAAAGGGAAGCACCTCGAACTAGATAGTAATGTTTCCTGTACCTTCTTTTAAGAAGGAAATCAAGCTAACGCGATACCAAGATTGTGTGATGTCTTTACATAAGCCTGAGAATGGTGTTCTGGCTCATGTTTCTTGTCACTTTGGCAGTTATCGGTACACAATATTAGGCTACCAAAACAGAGTACCGTTGGTGATGTCATCAATGAGCTCAAGGGGAAGGTATTTATGCTCTTACTATGGATGGAGCATCAAATTTGGAGCCTGCCTTGTCTTCTTTTATGTAAAATGATTGCACTTCGAAGAATTGAAATGTATATGCTTGAAAGGATGGTTTAGTCTCATTTATGTCAGTAAGGCTGTCTGAAGGTGCTTCGGAAATTTCTAACTTTACTATGACAGTATCTTGGATTACACTAAGCAATACAGCTGATTTGTCTAGTTGTCGCTTGGCAAGGTGGAGCTTTCCATCCCCAAGGCGGAACTGAGAATACTGGAGGTTTTCTACCACAAAATCTACAAGGTATAAAGTTGTATTTAATTTTTCCTTAGAAATTAAGGTCACTTGTCTACTTGTTGCTGCTGTCCATGGCCATCTATTGATGTATGACCTTGAAATATCAGAACTTAAAGTCTTCTTCTCTTTGCTTGCAGATATTCCCCTCAAATGAGAAGATTGAGAACATCAATGATCAATACTGGACCTTGCGGGCAGAGGAGGTATATGTTCGTTTATTGAATGTATTTTTATCAATTGTACATGCTGTGGTTGTCATTCGTGTTCTGGCTGATGGTTGAACTGGTTGCTAGGTGGTTGGAGTTTGTGAAGTCTTGTTCTAACAACAGATAACGTATATGGTGGGATCGTAGCAAGCCGAATCTAATTTCTGGATCCACTTTGACAGATTCCAGAAGAAGAGAAAGATTTGGGTCCACAGGATCGGTTGATCCATGTTTATCACTTCACTCGGGATGCATCGCAAAATCATATGGTGAGTTTTCAAGGATTTCTCGGTGTCCAGCCTGATGTTAACATTTTGAAGATGCTCTAACACTAAGATGTTTGTGAACTGACATGTGGTGGTGGCTCTGTTCAGGTTCAAAATTTTGGAGAGCCTTTTTTCCTTGTGGTTAGGGAGAATGAGACTTTGACGGAAGTAAAGGACCGAATCAGAAAGAAGTTACAAGTGCCAGACGAGGAATTTTCCAAGGTCATCTCAGTTACCTGCCGTGTGTGAATGAGTTTATACTTTGCAGATAGAAGCATAGGGTTTATAATCGGTTACAAAGTACTGACACTCAATCCATTGTTTATTCAGTGGAAGTTCGCGTTTCTTTCTCTCGGACGTCCTGAATACTTGCAAGAGAGTGACATAGTCGCCAGCCGTTTCCAGGTAAGTTTTAGTAGTTTAAATCACTGATGTACATATGCTTTTCATTAAGCTGTGTCCCTCTGCATATTCAGTTAGAGCCCTGATTTTTTATTTTTATTTTTATTTTTTGTATTTTCACAGAAGAGAGACACATATGGTGCTTGGGAGCATTACCTGGGACTTGAGCATACTGACAGTGCTCCAAAACGGTCACATCAATCGAATCAGGTAATAAGATATTAATTAGGATTTCCCTTGATCTTTTCATATTATATCTTACAGGGCATTATAACTAAGGAGTTTTGTTTTGATTCTGATATTGTGATGTGTTTTTATAGAAGTCTATGAAATCACGTACTGTAGAGTAAGGAACATGCACATTATGTTATCTTTTTCTTGCCGGCAAAGATTTGTGTACTAACTTATTTGTATGATCGTTTCCTTGCAGAATCGACATAGCTTCGAGAAGCCTGTAAAAATTTACAATTGAGGACGGGCATGTAATAGACGGTCCAATATTTCTGTTGGAAGACACCTCCTAGATTTTTCAGAAGCCACACTGTTCCCAGATTAACCTGCATAAGGCAGGTCTGGAAAGGGAAATTTCCTGGGTAGTTGGGTGCTTGGTGCCCTTTTGTTATTTAGCCTGAATTCAAGTTTGCTACTCGGCATGGCATATCATGTACCCATGCCTTGTGGTGTAGTGCTTGGTTGTATAGGGATTTACACCCTTCTTTCTAATGGTGATGAATCTACCCTTCTGCGCTACCGTTGCGCGCTGAAACGTATGGAACTGAGCATGGGTCTCTTGTTGCAATATAGCCGTTAGTAATAGGGAGGCCTGTTCTGCCAGTCTGCTGCCTTTGACCCCATTACGGTCGATAGCCAGCTTCACAGGCTCGGACCTAGTGCATTGCAGTCATCTCCAGAACTTGCGGTCTTTGCTCTCAGTAGAATCCCTGGAGGGACCTCCATAGAGATCACTATTATTGCTGAGCTTGTACCCATCAGAGGTGGGAATAGGCCAGGCAAGCTTGTTGCCCTCTGCTGCATTGCATGCAGGGCAAGCAGGGCGCTTGTTGAGTGTCTACGAAATATTTGGTGTCCTGGTTATGAGGCCCTTACCAATTCCCTTTCCTGTGCCAGCTTGATAGTGTCCCTTTGACCCCATGCACAGATGTAGTTCTCCTGGCTTTTTTTTTGCATGTGGGTTCGTAATTGAGCCCCTTCTGTACCCAACTTCTGAACTCTCCTAGCCTCATTGCAAAGGCTCAATTTGTTTTGAGTATGGACACTTTAATCTGTTATTAGGGAATGATCACATGTTCCACGGAATTACTTGTATTAGGAATTATGACTAACTCTGGCTTAAAAGGTATGTCAGGATCTTCTTCAAGTAGTTGGATGCATTTATTCTTCACTGGCTGATAAATCTGTACTAGAAAAACTACCCAAACTAGTACATGGTTGATTTCGTTGTATTTGCCTTGAACACATTGCATAGCATCTTATTCGATCTCACAAGAAAATAAGTTTCTTTCTGCCTTCGTCCTGAAAAGTTGGTGTTCGCTGTCGATGTATACTCATGACAGCAGCATTGCCCAATTACCCAAGATCCGACCTTCGTCCTGAAAAGTTGATGTTCGCAGTCGATGTATACACATGACAGCATTGCTCATTAAGCCAAGATCCCACGTTATCTCCCACATCAGCGCAAACAAAGAAATATCAAAGTAAACATATATCGCCGCGCAATATCGTTTACTTCACAGTGAGCACAACAGATATTACATTGGTTATCATCTTATTGCACAGTGCTTATCTCGTGTAAAGTAGCCTTGCAAGCGTCAATGGATGTAGAAGGTAGTGGGTGGACATATGTTTCGAAACGAAACTATTACATAGTCTGCGGAGGATGAATCTAAAATTTGGGGTTTCAAAACTACCTTGATGCACAAAATGAGTGTTAAAGAGAACAATTTTTGCGATGTATTATTTGTAAAGGTTCCTTAGTTTTAGAAATAAATAAAATTCCAAGACGATACACTACAATCCATACAATTACATGATACATTTTAACCATAATTTCGCTCCGTCGCCTGGCTTGACAAGATTGGTCGTGAAAAAACATCTACATCAAATTGTTTTGATCAGTTCTAATATCCATGAAACCAGACAGGCACATCAGGACATTAAGGCGAGTGCATTGAGGCACAACAAGTCCAAGTAATTTGTTACTTCAAAATTATATTACAAAGCAACTTCTCAAAGTATCGAAGAAGGTTTCACTCACATTCGTCACACTACTGACACAGTATTTGCTGGTGGCTCTTTGGACGTCACTGACTACAATGCACTGCACACACGAAATTAATGAGCATGAAGCTGTTCTTCGCAAGTGGATCGAGTTGAACCGCACAAACGATGATGTAACTTTTAATGTTTGAAGCTCGGAGTTTTGTTTGAAGCTTGGTTTAGACAATGAAGAGGAGTGCGTAGGCAGTCCTCTGCAAGCCGGTTATGGGACCAAACAGTCGAGCCCATGTGATCTTTACTCGCCGGGGAAAAAAGTTTAAAAAGAGTAGAACATTCTACATGTGGGAACTGGAGGACCAAGTTATATAGCAAAAAGGATGGGACTACCCATCAGATAGAACATGTGAGAACTTTGCTAAAACTCATCAGATAATACCGTGCGCAGTACTCCCGAAATGCGTCAGCCACGGTAAGCTTCGATCCATACGCTTCGGCTACTAATGTTCTTCCGGTACTTCATTTACAATCCTTCCAAAATGCGTATGCTCGTTCGTTCGTATGCGCAGACTCACTCCATCTCTATTCCATTTTGCACGTCTCGTCTCGTCTTGCCGAAGGCACGTTTATACACCGCGTCGTTGATCGCCATCGCTCGTAGAATGCGCAGATCTTGCGTTCAGAACATTTAGTGGCCAAGTCGCGAACTCACATACCTCCATCGAAATGATGCGACCAACCCCAGTTGTGATGCTTGTGGTCGGATTCAGGCGACCAGCCGCCTTGCTTGCGCTCCGAGTGATACTCGTCGGAATGGTGGATATGGTTGAACCATCGGTGCTTCTTCTCTCCCTTCTCGTGCGACGAGTCGGGAGACCGTAGGAACCTATCCGAGCTCAACCATCGTCGCCCCGACTCTCCATTCGGCGACTTCCCCTTATGGAAATCGTGCACAGCCGATCGAACGATCCTGTCGAAGGCATCTGTCCCGTTCTCGTTGATGAAGTGCGCGACATTGTTGCGAGCCCCGGGGCTCATCTGCGCAATAATGCTCCGCTGCTCCGCATTCAATTTCCTCTCGATCTTCACCGTGAACGTGCCCGCGTACTTCTTCACGTAAGTGTCGTAGATGTAGGCAGCGCCCCGGAACGGAGGCAACACCAGCCACGCGACGGCAATGAGCTTCACCATGTACCAGAGCGGAATCCACGACAGCAGCCTGTCGAATCCCAGCTCCACAAACGAGTAAAAGATGACCCAGTACGTGAGCCACTGCGCGTCGTCTTCCTTGCCCGGGCTCTCGATAGCCCGTATGGACTCATACAGCGGATACACCAGCATCAGTACGGGTCCCGACCACGAGTACAGCTGCAACAGCAGACTCCACAACGACGCTCCCGCAGACACCATCGTGCCTCGCCTCAGCTCCTCAAATCCTAGTCAGCTCCGAGCTCTCCCACCGCTCTGTTCTTTCGGATGATGTGCTCTTCCGGGCGATGGCTGCCGACCCCTAATGCCTGTGCATCGCTGTTTGCACGAGGTTCGGTCGGGGAGTGCTTCGGAAACCTGCTGCTCGTGGAAACACAGGTAGGAGGGATGGAGAAAGAGAGAAAGGGAGGGAAGACGAGAGGGAGAGGAAGATGGTGGGCAGGGTGGAGAGAGACGACGGTCGAAGGATCGATTGGTCGTTGTGTGTTCAACGCAATGTGCACTACCTCAGTTCTGGTTGCGTTCCTCGTGGGTGAGCTTGAGAGGGCTGCAAATTGATTTCACAGTGTTGAGCTCCCTCCACTTTTGGCTGCGCTGACTTCTTCTCCGTCTTCTGCTTTTGCTGGTACTGCTTTCAGTCCTGAGCCTCTCCCCTCTCCTGGCCTCTCTCGCGCCTCAATGACCTGCAATGTCTCGTAGTCTTCTTCTTCGTCCCGACCCCTCGCTGGCTCGCTCTCTCTCTCTCTCTTTCTCCCCCTCTCTCTCACTCTGGTCTGACACTTCTCCCCGCCCGTCAGATTCGTGTCTCCTTCTCTATATATCCTTCCGATCGATCGGCCTCTTGACTCTCATCGATTGCTCATCATTCTACGCACACTCCCGCACTTCCCTCCTTCTTCTACTCGCCTACAGTGGCAGTCCCAGCTGAACTCGACTGCAGCTGCCACTCGCCCTCTCCGCGGCTCCTCCCCTTCTTCGAAGATCTGTCAATGGCTTGGAAAAGGAGGCACTATGTGACTCAACATCGCGTACTCCGGCGATATGTCCGAAGTGCGGCCTGCTCCCTCCTGCAGCTACTGCTGCTGCTGCGTGCGTCAGTGGAATGTATGGTGGTGGACTCGAACGTATAGCAGAAGCAGAAGGTTCAAGGCACCTGGTAAGTTATGATTAAGGCCTCTAACAAATCTAACGCCCAATTACAGAAATCTCTTGTATCAAAACCTCAGCGTACGGCAGGGAAATTATGGTGCTGAGAGTGTACGGCGTCCTCATCTATAATACGGAGCCGGATTGCCATTCAGATCAGCTCAGTACAACTTTATAATGCTCGATCTGAAGCAGAAATAGAAGAGAAGGGAAGGTAGACGACAATACTTCTCCTTCCCTCTCTCCCTTAGCAGAGAAATGTTTTGTCACGAGGTGGGCCAATGGAGAAGCGGTTCGCCAACGTGCAAGATTCAAGATTATCCCATGCATAAAGAACTTACAAGAGCGCATCCACAGTTACTGCTTTCATTCACGAGCCTCCAGTGTCGGACTCGCCCCACCTTAAATATAACTTTGCTACTGCATGAAACCCTCCCAAGTTGTTGCAGAATCCGTTTTCTCGATCTTCTCGCTGCTGGGGTCGAGCTTAGCTCGGCTCACCTTTTTGTGTGAGTACAATCCTTTAATGCCTCATTGGCTGTTTGTCATTCATGGAGCAGGGCGTTTGTAACGTGAACCAGGAGTACGATAATCAAGGCTGGGGAGAAAGCCTTTGCTTGCGACCCAATATTTACTTAAGTTGTGGTCCCTAGGGTGCTTGACTCAGGCACCAGGCCTCTAGGCCCCCTTCCCCGTCCTGGCTGCAGGGCAGGTCGAGCCTTAAGGGCCTTCCTTCGCTGGCAACACTTGCATTGTTTAAGTGTTGGCGAGAAGCCATAGATATCCATATAAATATTTATTATTATTTCTATTTGTTTGATGGCCAGCGAAAGTGAAGAGTACAGTTTGTTAAGATGAGCGAGAGCAGAACGTGGACGGCGCAGTCTTGTCGTTGGGAATTTCTCACCCGGGCCCTCGACGTCAATGGTCGGAGATCAATGCAGACAATAGATGCTTCCTTTTCCATCCTTGCGGATACCAAAAACATTCCTGATCATCCATGTAGATGCATATGTGCTGATACTGTAATTCGAATGTGCTGGTGCTGTCGTGCGAACTGTTGCCTTTGGACACAAAATGCTGATGATCGAAGAACGTGCAGCATTTGTTGACATATTTTATACTTACAGTACCACAGCTGCAGCGTTTCATACAAACTCATTACGGGCAAGAGCCGACCCTCAACCCGTGCCACGGCATGGGCGGAAGTGGCAAAAGTGATCTACTCCTGGGCTTCAGATTTGGTCTCGATAAGCAGGCTGTGGTCGACCAACGAGCTTTGACCTCAACTTCGTCCATTTTCTATCTGAGGCTGTTCTCATGCAGCTGTTCTACGCACAACAAACAAAACAGCCGTCATTACTAAAGTGCGGCATCTCCAGAAGATCGCCTGGATTAAGGTTCACCATGGCTTGCGAGTGAAGAGAAGGCCTGTAGGGTCCACTAGATTGCACTGCATTGGTGGTCTGGTCAGGTCAAGTGCTCCACAGCATCCGGGAAAAAATGAGGGGCATGGCAAGGATCGGGGAAAGCACTGATCTTCAACAGTTGAAGAAGCTTTTTTAGCTTGGTTTGCCTGTTTGCCTGCTTGCCCTCTGGAGCCTTATGAGGACACTCTTTCTTCCCTGCTTCGAGTCCTAAATTCACGATCATGCCTGCCCCATTCCATTGTACACACTTTCTATAGCCTGAGTAAACAGCAGCGGTCCGAATGGGGAGAATCCCGATCTCCAGGATTCAGCCCTCCCATATGCGGGGAAGATACACATCAACGTTGTTGGATTTTCTTCGTCGTTTGTGTTTTAACTCCATTACTAACTCTTGTAGTGTTCACAGCCTCCGTTGGCCAGAGTACTTTGGACATCTGCTTGAGACATTCGTTATCTCCGTCTAGTGGAAGGTATGTTGATTCTCGAGTCTCCTTTCTTCCCATTCATCTTACATGGGAGGACCAATCAAGTCCTATTTCATTCCGTTTATCGTGAGGGCGATCATGTTCAGACGGGATGTTTAGGTCTGCAATGTACTGTATTTATATTATTTAGTGACCTCTGCCCCGACATAGAAATCTTGAGCTTTGGGTCACGGTTCATTTGTTTTGCGTTTGGATTTTCATTGCTTTGTCTGGCTTGGGACAACGCTGTTAGTACGATCTCACGATGAGGAAATAAATCTCTAGTTGAGAGCAGAGAAAAAATATGGCAAACTTTACACTAACCGAGTTATCACTATTGCTGTTGTTTATCTTGCCAGAGAGACTTAAAACTCGATTGATTCATTCTTTGAAGTTTATCGAGCCGCATATATTTTCGAAATTCGAGTACTTTATACATGTTTGTTTGTGGACAAAATAATAGTTTTTTCTCGGAATTTGCGAACATGAAGCCTATTAGATGTCGTGGTTGGTACTTTGCACAAAGTAGAGAAGTAAAAGTGAGCGATCGTACAGAAGAACATTCGGAACTGGATACTACGTAGTTCTGGTTTCAATCATTACACCACCTCCAGTGAATCGGTAACAACACGACAGCAGCGTACTGCCATGATGTTTCGCTGTTATGTGACATGTGGACCTCCGTAAGTGAAGAGTTCCGATCCTGCTGTCGGCGGAATTCTTTACCACTGTGCCCATACTTCCGAGCAATAAACTCATCCAGCGCTGAAACTGAAGTACAGGATTGAGGATTTTTATAATGCACATATTGATATGTCTCAACTCCAGACATATTTTGCAAACCTAAAAAATTGAGAGCACAATGCAGAAACCTTATTACATGAACATGACTAATGACGAATTTTAAGGGCTTCAGGAGTGAAGTAAAGAGAAATTTTAATCTATGACATATAAGATAATTATGTCTTATAGATTTAATTCTACATACAGTTAATTAATCATAGTGAAATTAATTTTTACATCATGATACAGCGTTAATTATTACTCAATTTCAAATTTTTTACATCCATGAATCATGATTGATAAAGAAAATTCAAATCCCAGTGATCATATCAAAGGTACATACTCATATATACAGTCTTAATTCTTTATTCACATAAAAATGTCTCAAAGAAATTTTTTATCTCTTAGAATGATCAAGGTTATGTTTGTGAAAGTACAACTTGTATGAAGAACAAGGATTAAATTCACAAACTTCATCAAATGTTGTATGTATGAATATGTTCTTCATACAAACATACAACATTCGACAAGAATCACACGTTCGTCATTCACCTCCTCATGAAACTACGTCCACAATCGAGATAATGTTGAGTTTAACTCAAAGGTTAACTAGAAAGGTCACGGGCAACGTTCACAGACGAAGGATGGGAATGAAGGTTGCAAATGCGAGCAACATGTGGCAAACAAACTAGGCAGATCTGTCAAGAAGATTTTGTCCAAAAGATTCAGTATGTAGAAAGGATTCTATACGTTCCAGACAATATTTCATTTGTAAACATTTTGTCCAAAAGAATCTTCGTCGAAATGTAAGCAAAATAGGTCTCGTTGTAAAAATCTCAACGCGACCAGTGTATCTAAACCATTTTCAGAGTTGATAGACGACTCAAAAGACAAAATTGTCACAAAAGTTGTTTTCTATATTTAGGGTTTTTAATGAACAAAGATGATAACACGACAAATTGAAGTATCTAGACCAAGGAGTATAATCTTTTGAATGATGAGCTATAATGCTTACGGATTACAGGCTATGGTATCTAGTAACATGTAAGGTTATTGTCAGTTGTGATGTTTCTTTCTATGAAATCAATATCATTGAAAGAGAGTAAGAATTATCATACTCTCTATATTAACAAGGAAAAAGTTCCACTCATGCATATGCTTGTGAGGGAGTTTGATCATTATGTGATTAATAATCAATGAGCAATACCAATCCTCGTGAAGTTCTTGAGCACAGAATCAAATTAGTTAAGATTAAGGGTAAAATCTAATGACTGAACTACTCAATATTGACACTAAATTCTAATGATTAAGCTAGTCAATATTGATGATAAATTATGGTGATTGAGCTATTCTTTATTGACGGTAATCTCTAGTAATTAAACTAGTTAATATTGACAATAAATTATGGTGATTGAATTAATCAAGATTGACGTTAAATTTTGGTGATTGAGCTAGTCAAGATTGACGGTAAACTCTGGTGATTGAACTAGTCAAGATTGACGTTAAACTCTGGTGATTGAACTAGTCAAGATTGACGTTAAACTCTGGTGATTGAGCTAGTCAAGATTGACGTTAAACTCTGGTGATTGAACTAGTCAAGATTGACGATAAACGCTCATGATTGACCAAATCAAGATTGACAGTAAACTCAATCTAGGTGATGCGTTGACCAAAGTTATTACTTTGAACAATTTCACACGACATTGTGCTACTATGAAGTTTGTGCATGGTGAGCATAGGCAAAGTTTGCTAGCATAGTTTCTTTAGTAACCTCTGTATATAATTACTTTATCCTTTGATGGTTACCGCTTAATTCTAGTTAACTCTCGTTTTAAGAATACCTTGCATTATATATCTTTTTGAAACTTTCCGTGGAGTAATTATATAGGTTACGAGGTTTTTGTTTCTTTTATGCTAACAAGTTTTTAGTTAACTCTCTATGTAATTACTTTATCATGTAATGATACTATTTAATTTTAGTTAAATCTCGTGTAAAGAATGTATATTGTGATAGGTTTTTATCTAAAACTTCCCGTAGAGTGATAATCAAGTACTATCACGCGTGAGTTTCTTGGTGGACGTATTATTCCTTAATATGAATTACATTATATCTTGGTGTTTCGTGTTGATGGCTTGGATTGAATGTTTTGCTTTGATTATCTAGTTTTACATTGAGAGATAATAGATTCCTTGAAGTGAAAATATTACCTCAAGACTCCATAGTCAAGTTCTACATAATCTCTCTTCATCAAATTTATGTCAAATTGAATTGAAATGTGCTAATCACAAGGCTGATTTTTTTTGAGACGAGCCTAAAGTTTAATTAGGTTGAACGAATCATGATTAATCCAAACAAACTCAAATCCTAACCACGGTTAGACCAATTATGTGTGACGAAACACGTGTTAACCTTCCAAACTCCTTCTTAACCCAAGTATTAGAGGAGGAAATTTCTACAATTCATATGTGATTTCAATAGAAAGTTGTAGAAAATAAAACTAAATCATAACTTTTCTTCTATTGACGAGGGAAAATTAAAACAAAGCCGTAGCTAACATGTTAAAAAGAAACGACATACATAGAAACTTTCCTAAAATTTAATTCATCAATGCAAATTCTGCAAAGTTGCACGGTGTACTAAAAACTTATCAAAAGAAATCACTTTGGTAAAACCATCAACTAGATTAAGCTCTCCATCAATCTTGATAAGCTTAAGCGCATTTTTTAACACAATAATCTTGATAAAATGATACATTATATCAATGTGCTTCACCATATTATCCATCCCTTGATTCTCAACAAAGTGAAGCTCACTCAAAAAAATAATCGACATACTGCTACGACAATCCAATCTCAATGAGAAGCTTATCAAACCAATTTTTTTTTTTTAAATTGCCTCTGCTGCTGCAACATATTCAACCTTCGTGGATGCTAAAGAAATTCACTTTTGAAGAGTAGCTCTTCAACTAATGCTTTCACCAGTAAGTGAGAAAGCAAATCTAATCGTTGATTTCTTCTTATCTTAAACTCATGATCAACATCCACATACTCTAGAATTAACTTAGCATTCATTGCTTTAGCATCAAGCAATAAACCATGTCATGTAAAACCCTTAAGATATCTAAGTATCCACTTCAGTATTTCTCAATGTACCTTGCCTAGATATGATATGTATCTACTCATCTTAACTCCAGCAAATGCTATATCCGTTCGTGTGCATTCCATCAAATACATGAGACTATCAATTGCACTTTCATTGGAGATAGAAAACATCAAGGATTTTTCAACCTCATACGTAAAACATTGCGTTGCTGAACATAAGAAATAAGAAGCAAATGAAGTATTCACATAAAAATTTGTCACCATGTTAAACTTGGCAAGCATCTTCTTTACATGCTTATGTTGAGATTACCAGATATTTACTCCCTTTTGATCTCAAAATACTTTCATGCCAAGAAGGTTTTGAATTGATCTAGATAATTCATGTTGAAAGTTGTGCCCAACCATACTTCAATTTATCAACATCAAATGTTTTAGTAGCTGCAATAAGCATGTCATCAACATATAAAAAAAAATGAAAAGCCTAAATGTTGCATTGGAAACCTTGTTCAAGTAAACACAAGGATCATAAACAGTCCGTAAGAATACTTGTTAGTGCATGAAATTGTTGAAGCATTTGTTACACTTTATGGAATTTTGCTTTGAATTGTATAACAATTTAAGCAAATTGCAAACCATGCCTTCCTTTCCTTTGATGAGAAATTCTTGCAGTTACCGCATGAATATTACTTCATCGAATAGTCAAAAGAGAAAAGCTGTGACAACATGTCATAAGTCCAAACAAACGAAACCTAACTAGTCAAAACAAATCTTATCTCTAATTAGAGTCCAAGCCTACGTAAAGTTAGACTAACTATGCATAAAAAGACGCCGGTTAATCTCCCAGTTTGAAGGTCATGTTTGTTGAAGATGAACGGAATAACAACCATTGTAATGTACAAAAATTACCCTTCCAATATATTCAAAAGTTGTTCAATTCAATCAAAACACATATTTCTATATAAAATATGCGATGAAGTTACAACCCTAGATCTTACAACCTTGTGTCTTGGTCAACATGTGGTTCTATATTACTATGGGGTTGAGTTGAAATGATTTTCAAGTAAAACTGACTAAGCATTTGATTGTTCTATCTAATAATTGCATTTCAGTAGTAGATAAAAGTGATAGTATATTGATGCATAAATTTTACATATTCCGGATAAAGGTGGTCTGTATATTTTGGAGTTAGTTACTGAAAAGTAAAGAAAAAATAGCTGAAACTTCTAAGCGGATCTACCATTACAACTCTTTCATATTTTCTGACCTATGCATGTACATCTTCAATATTATAACACTTTCTGTGTAAATAATCACATCAATAGCTAGTGGATTAATAAACAAAATCTACGTTTATTAATTATCTGAAAGAAGGGTAAATTTTGCGCTTGAAAAGATATAAAAGAAGATTAAGTTGTGTAAGGTTGCAAGTGCAAATTGGATTCAAGCTCATCCTTCCCAAGAGCAAGACATTCTACTTTGCGCACCTTTGGAGTGGCTTTTGAACGGCGCAATTAGTCACAGTAATGATACTCCTTGTTCCTCTCTGACGACAGTCTGCAAAGCAACGTCTGGACATAGGGTCTTCAAACTTTACAGTGAAAAATTGCAGTCTAGACAAAGATTCTGGTGGGAATTGCGTAACTCACCGAGTAGCCGTCGATCAGCGGTGTACTCCTCTAGAGGCTAATTGAACTCAACCAACTGAACTGTTTGTCTTGCTTGTCCTTAACTCCCGAATCATTTTCATCTCTAAACTCGAAACACTGACCAGCTCTGAGGCGTGAGAGGGAGGGAAGAGCTTCAATATTTTTGCTCTGCATGACATATAATTTGCTCAATCATTTGCACTCTGATTTGCGAATTGGATCATGCTGAGTCGGGACGAAGCGCTTCGGAGTCCAGAGTCCAAAGACTCTAGAAACATGTTCTCATTTTACTTCGGAATTTACTCAAAACCTCGACAGACCAAAGTGTTCCAGGCCCCACTACTAACATGCGGTCGATGCCCTGCTCCCTCTGGTGTGAGCAAGAGGGTTTGGATCTGAACTGAAACCGAACAGTCCGTGAAGACAAAAGAAGCTACTGCTTATGTCATAAATTTAGGAAGGCTTGAAAACAATATCCTGTATTAAAGCTTATTTCGATCTCATTAGTGCCGATACTTTGAGAATAAGTACGAATATGGAAAAGGACGGCACACGACATTAAATTCTCAGACAGGATGCAGACTGACAGTGCATTTTGAAAGGTTCGAGAATTACGAATACAGAGGTATGTTTTCTCTCCAGACATTTACGATATTTACATATTTCACATGTCAGGTAGTAAATTTGTATGACAGTTGTGTGGTGCCCTGTGTCATCGATTGTTCGACGTGTGTTGTCCCTATTCGTGCGATGTGTGGTGATATTCCTGCTACACGGATCCCACCCTTTAGGCTTTAGAATATTGACGGAGGATATCATACCACTGATTTAGCATTACTGTACCTTGTGACTTATTCAAATAATTTGAAAGAGTAAAACTCAATTGTAACCAGCAATGTATTGAAATAACCTCATTTCTAAATACTAACATAGGAGAGAATTTTATTCTAGCTGGTGATGCTTTGAAAGCCCCAAAGTTTAGATTAACAACACAAAATATGCAAGATGTTAGCAGCTTCAAATTAGAATGACGCACATGAAGTTTTGGTTAAGACCCTCGGAGTATTTGCTTCAAAATATGTTTGTCTATCGCAAAGCATTGTAACGAAGGTCGCTTGAGCTCGACCCTTTCTAAGGCTGGGCTCTTCGTTCCAAACAATTCCCACATATCTAACAATGAGATTCTCCTGACGTCTCCGTGAATATAGTATGTCAGCGTAGTCTTTCCGGTGCACCTAGTTGTCTCTTTCTCCTCCTACAAGGTTGTGTGGGATTACCTGTATGTACCACGAAATAACACTTTTCAGTCCATGCACATGATATTGGATACGCAACCAACACGAGGGTGAGATGTATTTCCAATATATTATGATAGAGAGAGTGACGAGTGTTTATATTTTTTAAAAATAGCAGTACTCCTTTTTTTTCAATCACATTTGAAACACGTTTCGAACGTTTCTTTTCTGGAATTTTCCTTACTGTGGCAAATATGTTACCTCCACGCTACCTAAGCTCTTTTGTGAAGGTTTGCACCTACATCTCAAACTCTACAAGGCCCTGTTATGCGACTACGTCGGACCTCAGATGGTGCTCCCACTTGAGTTCCAACTGGATGAGGCTGGAGTTATAGATGTAAGCATTTTAAGTTGTCTAACTAGTCACATGAACATGTCAATCTTCCTATGGTATGTTCTCTACGGGTATGCTAGCTCTCGAAATTTTTAATGCAAGGTGTCCACAACTACAAGTTCCCCCAATGTGGGATGGTAAGCCCATATTTATTCATTCTCTGCGGAGGTGCACAACGAGATGTGTGTAGAGGAAGCCCCTCAAAAGCAAAATTGTTGGCTGACTTGGGGTGGCATTCAGCACAATGAGATCGAAGCAAGTATAGGGTAGACTGAGCGACGAAAAACAAACAAACAAGAAAAAAAACCAGCAGTGCAAACTGTCAACCTTCAATAAACGGGAATCTTCCAGCATTTCTTCAATATTTTCAACTGCTTTCTCCCTTTCTTGCAAATATAGTGAGGATAATAGGGCGTACAATGGTATTAATCTTTCACAAGAGGGAATCTGAGCATGTGAAGGTTTCCTGCATCAGATTTTATACGGCTGTATATCATCTCAGTACGATAAATAATGAAAAATCGATTCAGGTCTCTTCATAGTGAGCAGTATTATGAGCAGGCTGTCAATATGAGGACCATGTACCTTCGTCAGAAAAGTGAACCTGAACGAATTGGAGGACGACTTGACCATTCTAGTACGAGTAAGTAGAGTGCAGCATTTGCTCAAGTACAACAGGCATTGAAGTTGTACCTACCCACGCCAGAGTCCTGCTGTCCTCTACTCCAGCGATGGCTTGCTAAGAACAAGTGGACCAAGCAAAATTCGCTCGAAGTTGCCGATCCTGTCGTGGTGGAGACCAAAAGCAAATCAGGCCCAAGTATCGGTCAGAGTGAAGTAACTCTGACCGACATTGTCGTGACTACAAAGTGCGTCATGAGTAGTCGAGTTCAGCCACCTCTTGCGCCAGCAGCCGGCGGAGAATTGGACATGCTCGTCTTGAGAACCTTGGCCTGCACAAGGCGTTGCTGGATGGTTTCGTGGCGATTTGAGCCAGCAGCTAGGGTAGGGAAGTTAGCAGGAAGGAAGGAGGTCCATAGGGCTCGTGATGCTATTGAATCCCGGTGTGTGTGACGTGTGCAGCGTGATGTTTGAAGGGAGGGGGATGATCTGGTGCAGGGACTAGCGCAGCCACTCCATCCGCCGACGAGAGAGGCGTGGGTACGCAGCGGCTGAGGGGGAGTGACTTTTACTTTTCGCCTGTCCGATCGCGCATGTGCGCGCTCTCGTGTGCGTACATCATCTTCATCGTCGGTGCGGCGTTCCGCGATCTCCTTCTGTTTCGTTTCTCTTCTCGCACGCGCTCTTTACAAAGCGTGCATCCCACTCCAGTGAGCACGAGGCAGCTGGCAGATAGTTCACTCGCATCTTTGGCGAAGAGTCGAGCTGCGGAATCTGTTGTGCTTGAAAAAGTTCTCCTACTGCACTTCGATGAAGCTCACCCTCGAATTCGGGTATGTTCATGCCTATTGTTCTTTTCGTAGCAGTATGTCAGTGATTTCTCCATGCCTGTTGGCGGAATCAGTCTTCTCCAGATCGCCGACTCCTCACACGCGATTGGAATTTGAGTATATTGGTTTTGAAAGAGATCTGCCAAGCAGTTAATTGTGGAGGGGAGGGATCGTAATTGGGAGAGTTTGATGTCTTTCAGGACGTTGGAAAACAGAATTCATTTTCCATAGTAGTTGAGAACTGAAGTCTACGGTTCTGGCCTCGCATGCTGATGATCACATCTTCTCCTGTTGGCGTTGTTATGCAGCGGTGGATTGGAATTGCTCTTCGGTTCAGTGAAGATTCATGAGGTTGCTGTTCCTCCACCCGATGGCGAAACTAAGGTGGGATGTCTTTATCGTCCGGGGAGAAGATCCCAGCCCGTTTGGTTCTCCTCCCTGTTCTCTCGTACCTGATCCCACCAGATTTCCAGTCGTTGTTACTTTGTGCCCTCGAGCAAACGAGTATGTTCTGATATTTTGTACTAGTGGAAATTTTGGCAGGTCACAGTCAAGCACTTGCTCCTCTGGATTCGAGACAACCTTCTCAAGGAAAGACCAGAGATGTTCCTGAAGGACAAGTCAGTGTAAGTTGATTATAACCATCTTCTACTCGAGTCACGTGTTTTTCATCCTATGTGTTTCTCTCAAAATACTACAGAACGGTGACAATCTACTTCACCGTAACTCAGCGCTTACATGTAGAAAAGCGCTCCCTTATATCGTCACTCTCCACCTGTCTTCACTAGCCGTCCCTTCATGTTTCTGCTTCCAGTAGATTTCTTGTTTACGTTCCATAGATGTCATTTTTTCTCCTAACCATAGCAGATGGTTTTATCAATCGAGACAAAAGTCGGAACGTTATTGGGGAAATGAAGAAAGCAGCAGCTCACATAAGAAAGCTTTTCCTTGCTTTCCTTACTTTGCAGGAGGCCCGGAGTTTTGGTGTTGATAAATGACTGTGACTGGGAGCTTTGTGGAACAACGGAGGCAGTCTTAGAAGAGAAGGATACAGTGGTCTTCATATCTACATTGCACGGGGGATGATCACGAATCCACTACGACTGTATCATTCCACATCCTTTTCTTCTGCCTTCGAATCCAAAAGGGCTCGAGCATACCACATAATCGTCTCAAATCAGTTTGGTTACAGATTTAGGCAGTAAGCTGGAAGTCTGTAAAATATTAGTCCCAGCTGCTTCATCCATGAGGTTGAATAACCTGTAAACGTGTGAACCGTTTCTACTTTCATTGCGTTTAGAGTACGATGTGTTGTGGCTGAACGAATTGTTTTTAAATGAATCTCCGTGACCATCGTCGAAGACACGTAATAACACAGCAACAAATCTAGTTACGAAACGATGTATATCTACAAAATTTCTTCCCAGCCAGTCCACTTTACTCTTATCGATAAATTTCGAAGTGGCAAATGAACTTGACAGTTTCGTATGCAGAAAACAGGTCTTGATTTGTGGTTGGTCTTCAGCTTGAAGAGTTCGCGTCAGTACTTTTGACGCAGGCAAGAATGTCTCGCTGGGTTCGTGATTACAAGGGTCCATTTTACCCTGCAGAATGGATTCTGCACCCGAAAGTCAGGAGTTGAAGGTGATTGCATTTTGCTGATTTGGTGTTCATGTTACCTTGCTCCCCTTAACCATTCGATCTGCTGGAATTGAAACAATATAGTTGTTGATTAGAGCTCCCTATCACTTTTGTACGAGTTTTTGTGACATTGTTTATCGTAGGTCTGCTTGTATGCTTCGGCTTTATGTACAATGTACGTAGTGAAATTAAGCAGTGAACAAGTGCCCTTACCGGAGATGCATATGTAAAGGAGACGAACATACCCTGAGAACTTGAAGATGACTAGCTTGAAGACTTGGTTTTCTTAGCTACACACGTGAATGGAGAAAGCGATTGCAACTAGTATATGTCTCCTCCAGGTCTTCAGAGTAACACCTGCGCAGGCCCCGTGCCATACTATTTACTACCTGTCCTTTTGCTTCAGGATCTCAAAGATCAAATTTTGAATCCAAATTGTCTCAATCGGCCTTCTTTTTATTATTTCTAAGCACCAATTGAAATAGCTTGGGAAGAATAATCAAGGAAGAATAATAAAAATACTGTCCAACTACAGTTTGTGAAGCCTTAGAATGCTAATACTCAATTGTATATAATGAACCATTGTGTCGTTAACAGCGAGCGAAGAAGCTGGATAAAGCCTGGAAAACACAAGAAATAAATACGAATCCCTTTCGTGCAAACTGTGGAATTTGTATGGAGTAGCCGGCCAAGCACACCATCAAGCACACCGACTTGAAGGCATGTATACGACTTAATTGGTGTCCGAATTTCATACCTGCGTTGAGAACCTCTGTCCTATTACCGTGACCTAGCAGTCCGGTAGGTGGTGTCTGAACGGGCACAAAAGCTGGAGATTGCTGAGCCAGACATCCTCCCTGACCGCCGAAACCTGTGCACAGGCAAGTATGGATGTAATATTCTTCTCCATTAAACCCCCCTTTCCCGTTACAAGAGTACAATGGCGTGGGAAGCGTCGAAGGTCATGCACGTAACTTTCACCCAACTGAACAGATGGTTACACCGATATTTCTTGGTAGCTCGTGGTTGATTTAAGTTTCCGAAGATAAGTTTGAAAGATTAGAACAAGTGGCAAACATTTTTTTCTTTCAGGTGCAAGTTGATGGTAGCTGGAGTTTTAGGACATGTAGTCTTACACTCGGGTATACAGCAGTCTGGAACGCAGATGCTGGAGGTTGTATTCAGGAGATTTGAGTTACCCGGGTCGCACTCACACGTGAACAAGCTTTCACCTGGGCTTGTAATGCTGCCAGCTTTAGGTATACACTTTCCCTCTCCACAGATGGGCCATGCGCATGCTGCAATATTGAATTGCAGACGAGAAGGTTTTAGGCAATGTTGCAAGTGGGTGTTATAATGCCTCAGTACGAGAACATACCTTCAGTAATGTATATTCTGATTGCTCGTGTGCAAATGTAATGTTTATTTCTTTCAATGAATGCTAAAAAAGGGGCACTGTCAGACAAAAAATGGGCCAGGGAACACCACAAAATCAGAAAACCGTCCGACAAAACAAAGGGCCAGGGACTCTGACAAAAATTGGGCGAAGACAACAGACCAAAAAAAAAGGGAGAAAACAATAGGGATAAGCTTCTGGAAAACAATATAGATATTTTTGTTCTACCTGTGCAATTAGTATTTCTACATGTGCAAATGTAATGATTATTGCATTCGTTGAAAGAAATTACGTGCTTTCTATGAATGGGATAGTGTTCAGAATACGATTCTTACGATTGAAAAGATCTTGTATATGCGGTGGAGTAATGCTTTCTGGGTGACTCAAAAGTCCACAATTGAGCACATCTGGAATTCGACCTGCTCAGAGAATGATTCAAGTATGCAACATTATTGCCATCGTTTACGCAGTTCTGTAAGTGTTCGCGAGGCGTACATTGTTATTATTGATAAGTATATGCATGTACAAATTATCATTTTGTCGTCCACCGTTGGTTAAGAGAGTGGATGAAGACGAAGTTAACTAGTCATTGAATTATACTTTTTTTAAATCTTGTGTATGATTTGCTCACCATTTGAACAATTCATTATCCATTTGTGGTTCTATTTCACAATTTTTCACTTCCACCTACGGTAACAGTTATCCGTATTTACTCTGCAGATAATTAATAGGCACTGGATTTCAGCAGTGTCACATGCTCGCTTTCGAAAAATTGAGGACTTTTCGATGGTTAGAAAACTTACAGTTGGGTACAGCGCAAGGAAATGTTGGGAAGTTGAAAGGTCTCATCCAACCTTTCTCGCACACACACTGGTACTGCGGAAGTCCTGGGATATTGAATGCTGGTTCACATTTCCCCTTCCAACAGTCTACGTGCTTACAAACTGTAAATTCCACGACATCTTGAGTATTTAGTTGATGATTCACTCAAGTTAGTTCGTTTTTTATCTGTTTAAAGTCTTTAACTAGAGGACAATTTCAATTTCATGCCATTGGATTGAGGTTTAAGACATGCATAATCTGCCTTCCCTCTATCTGACATGACATTCAGAGTTTCACTCTCTCAGAAAGCGAGTGTTCAATGTCACTGACTGAGTGAGTCTACAACAGATTTGAATCGATCAGACTACAGACAGTTCACAATACATCTTTTTAAACGTGTAAAAGCTGCTTTTATTTCGTACACTTTCAATAGGTACAAAGAGATCCAGTTTGGGCCATCAGCTCCTTCATCCCTAAGGTATTGTATCCGTTATGACCTTTTATATCATCGTGGGAAGGCTACTTAGCAAGTTTGATTTGAACAAAGGAAACTTTCCCAGAAATCCCACAAACAAAAAGATGACGATGCCAAAATAATCAGTACAAATAACCGAGGACTGGCTGGCGGTAGAACGTGCAGCAGTCCTTTGGCGTCAGACCATTAACTTATCTTGTTTAGAAAATTGCAAAATTGAAGCCAATGAGGGGATAAATCTTCGGCTGTGTCCGGCAAGAGTCACGAAGAAAACCATGCTTTGTAGCGGACTCTCATTGCTCACGCTTCATTCGAGGAAATCTGCCGATGCTTAGATCACCTCACATTAAAAGCAAAATTACGGCCCCAACTGTTGCACTTACTAAGAAGGAGGCAGTGACCTCATTTGCTCTCTTACCTGCACAAGACCATACATGAATGTGTTTGTTAGAATATGACAACCCGTTTGGTTGTTGGACTCTGCAACAAATCGCACATTGGCTTCTCGTTGGCACGCAGTGGCCGATTAGGAGTTTTGGGAATGAAGACGACGCAAGGACAATTCAAAGCGTTTGCTTCTCTAAATTATCAGTCCATGAAGCCGACTTCTTCGTTCGATGATAGCTAAGAATTCAGAAAAGAACCGAGAACCGACCTGCATTGGGAAGCTGACCGACTGGACCAGATGTTTCTCCAGGGGTATACGGACCTTCACTTGGGGGCGTTGTGATGGTTGACGGAGGTGCTGATTGAGTGCTATTCGACAGAGGAAGACCAAGTTGCGTGCACGATGCTCCGAAGTTACCTGCGGGAGATATCACGTTGGATGATCCATCGAAATGAGTGATTGAAACACTGGATGCTGATACGGCCCAGTACACACATCGTTGACAGAAGACTACGGACCTACTAGACGGACACAATGCAGTCCCGGGGACTTGATTTCGACTGTCAGCTGCAACATATCTTCAAAAAAGATAGCGGTTGTATGAAAGCTGAGACTAGGCGACGGTTCGAAGTGTCATACTCTTCCGAAGCACAAGAGTCACAAATGAGTCAGCACAATTGTGTAATTCGAGTTGTTCAGCTTGAGGCACTCAGTTTGAGGCAAGAATTCAAAGCAGCTTTGTCGAGGTTTTGGACAAACCTCAAGCACATTCCACAACTTTGATTACTTACAGTTTGGGAGGCAGGTTCCTGAGCTCATGTTCATGACGTTTGAGTTGCCTGGGTCGCATTGGCAGGAGTAAGGAACCGTGAGAAGGCCTGGATTCTCGTGTGCTACACATTTACCGAACCCGCACAAGCTGAACGTACAAGCTGCACAGCAAGTGGTAAGGCGATTTAGCTTAAAAGAAACGAATTGGACACAAATGTTTACCATCGAATAGGACGATATTTACCGAACCGTCGACACGGTTACGAAAGCATGAGCAGAATTGAAGGTGAAAGTCTGAAAGAGTTGCGCCGCAGCGCTTCCAGACGATTTGAGCAGCCGTCACATATCAAGAATTAGATAATTGAACACATCAAAAGCGTGAGGCCGCCATTAAAGAGTTCGTAAGCAGTGCTTTGGTTCACGAAGTGCTTCTGCTTCACTTACGATTGAAGTCTGTGAAATTCGGCAGCGTGAAAGGAGCTGGTGAGGGGAGGCCCGGCGACCCTGCAGGAGAATCTCCGGCGCAGGAAAGATTCAATTGACCTGCCACAACCAGAGAGAAGAGGTTAGAGCTTTCACTTCAGCTAGAACATAAAACAGAACATCGAGAGCATGCTAGTACTCAGTCAACACGCGCGATAGACCGCGGTTACAACCTATCCCAGCAGGAGAAATTTCTGTCGAACAATCAAAACGAGCTTCTTCCTAGTGCATCCGAGTTTGAATTGTGTGTGAGAACGCAGACGTAAAGTCGAAAACACTACTCCACAAAGGGTTGAGACAGGACTCACAGTCTTTAGGAATCCCACAAGGCAGAAACGGAAGCTCCAAAATGTTCTCCCAGCCATCCTGACACTTGCAACTATAGCCTATGAAGCCCGCCTCGCATGTGCCTTGCTGACAGTTCACGCCGGAACAAGCATCTGCGCACAACATAGTCATCAAACGACGACGCATGAGCAAGAGTCCTGCAGGCTCTGCAACGAGTGCAGCTATGGGCGCCACGTTGAACTTCCTGACAGACTTCTGGTAATCTAAAGTGGACTGAAGAGGAAGAAGAATTCAAGTTCCCCTGGCAGTAAAGTATGCACGAAGTTGATCAAATCCGGCACGAACTCCTATTCCATGACCAATGCGTTGGCGGAGAAAGTTGTACTTGGTTTGCGTAGCAGGACATACCAGTGGCATTGGTAGAAGACTGGGCGGCAGACTGAGGCACATGCTGTACAAATGCTAAAACCAAAACTATTGCTGTCAGAACTGCGCAGCGTTTGTTCGACATCTTCGAAATCTGCATCAACTTCCTCTGGCCTGCATACATGTAGCATCCAACATTCAATCAGACTGACAATAGAGCTAGTAGCCAGGGCCTCCGTCGCACAGCAAGAGGAAGTCGACTGGTGTAGTAGAACTATGAGTCCGGGCCCTTCGAAGGCATCTGGTCACGAAGCTTGCCAGACGTGGACATTGAAATGGTTGCGAGTCGCTGTCGAACGAACTAGCACCGTCGAGGACACCGTTGCGGGTCCAGCATTGACGTTGTGTAAGCTGCAGAGTTGCGCCTTCCGACGGGGGTCGCAACCGCAGTCTCTGTCAGAAAAGTCTGCCGAAAGCATCGACCGCCCGCCACTGTACGGAGAAAACTACAGCAACAGCGACATTGACGAACGAACAACCCGACGACTGCTCCTAGTTTCAGGTTCACTCGAATCGCGGAGTCCATTTTTTCTCGATGACCACGTACAACGACCCAATGCGGCTGAATATTCCAGAGTGTGAAACACTACGCGAGTACCCGGACTTCGTGCCGAACGTCGACACCCAAATGGCGGAGATCCAGTCTCTCCGGATTCCAACTTCTACCCGACTCGTGTCTGCTGCACGGCAAGAAAAGACGCAATTCGGACAAAGCAGTAACCTCCCGAGGTTCAGAACAACCCAGCTCGATTCGGCGCGAGCAGCTTACCTTGATGGACAGCCTGTGATCGCTCCGTGCTACAATTCTTGAACAGGCGAGGGTGGCAATTCAGATCGAAATTTTCAGTACTCACTAATCCATGCGATACGACCCGACTTGGGTTTAGACAATCTAAACTTCGTAGCGACAGTGCACGTCCCGAGGCTTAGATAAAGGCTCGAGTCAATGAGAGCAAGCCACTCTGCGAGGAAACGGTCGAGAGTGGGGATCGAGCACGACTTATACGAGCGCATCCAGATGTCGACCAGCTCATCATTCTGACGAGCACAGAGGCAGACAGGCGGCGCGACATGAATGTTCAGGGCCAGTCAACACCTTCATAACGCAACGGAACGAACGAAGGTCCGCGTCCGCACAAAAGGACTGCGATGCCTTAAAATCTGCGTTACGGCCCACCGCCCTGCCTCCCTCCACCTACCATCATCATCACCACCATCATCAGCCCATCCGCCCAAGCAACAACAACAATTCGACGGCCAGCCGCTCTGACTCTGACTCTGACTGCGGCCTTCCTCACCTGCGCGCAACGTCTCTTTCGATTACGACCCCCGTCCTCCGCCGCCGCACGGACGCTCGATCACTTGCTCAGGTGGGTCTACGGGATTTGTCCAAGGGGCGAGCTTGAGATTGAGCTCGAGCCGAGGGGAGCACCGTGGGGCGGGAAAACAGAGTCCATTCCCAAAGTGGACAATTCGCCATTAAAGCGCCTGCCAACCTCCACGCTCTCGCAGGGACCACGTGGACATGGAGCCTCGAGTCCCGTCGCTACACTTCGCGCAGCACGGAACGCGGACGCAAAGATGGCGGAGGCCGACGACGACGACGACGACGACGACGCGCCAAGATGATGTTGGTCAGCTCCGGCCCCGCCGGACAAGATTGCGATTCGGGCCTCTTAAATTCGGGCTCTGAACCGAACGGCGAACCGATCCCGATGCGCGGCCCAGCGCCGGCGGACGATTCGCTTCGCTCGATCGGGGCCCTCGCTCGCTCGCCCCGAGGCGTCGGAGCTCCTCCGCTCGTTCTCGACATTCCTCGCATCGCCTCGACGTCGAGCGTTCGTCGCCTCTCGGGTTCTGCCCTGTGCGCTGAAGACTGCTCGCAGCCGTAGGGGGGGGGGGAGATCCGTCCCTGTCTCACGTAGGAATTTCTTTCCCACTTCCCGAGGCTTCGTTCGAACGAGGACGGGAATTTTCTTTGGGCCATTACCGCGAGATTTGGTTCTCGTGTCATCCTCGCCGTACAATCATGGACCAGAGCGAGGTCAGAGGTCAGAGTTCATCGCCGCCGAGCTATCCTCGTCTGATCCGTTGCTGGACTCACCCCCGCTCTGCTTTCCGTCTGCTCTGCTCGCGCTTCGGCCAATAGAACAAGAAGGAATGCGCTGGTCGTGCACGATCCACGACGATGCTCGACGTCGTATGTTGCTGCGGGAGGTGAGGTTTGCACAATTTGGCCACCGTCGAACTTGGGACGTGTCTGATGCGGGAGATGTCGAGGGCGTTTGAGGAAGTGAGTTCTTCGTTACTGCGAATCGAGAGGGATTAAGAGTGAGCATCTGACGTGCCAAATGGGGCCGACTGCGCAGGCGCTTGGTTCAGCTCTTCCCCAGATTACGCGCACGGTTACTTGTTTCAATCCTACATCTGGGAAGAAATTCGGGAATTCTTTCAGGCCTTGTGAATTGCTGCGGCGACCTTCAGCGGTCCACATCCGTTTCCTTCGGCAATCTGTGGGAAGGAGAAAGCCCGCGATTGTGGTCAGGTGTGAGCGTAATTCGGGGGAGACCGAAGAGAAATCTTCAGATGAGGACAAGCCTTTTTTTTTATCGGCCGACTTTTGGTTGCAAGTCGCAATTTTTCTCTTTGCTGCCGGCTTTGTTGACGCAGGGTGAGTAGCAGTAGCCCATCTTCCCCCTGAGATGTCTCCAGCCCCATATCTCAATTCCTTTCTGCCATCTTTAGGGTTTTCCCGGAAATGAGTGCCTTCATCTTCAAGTACGCGAGGAGAGTTCACTGGTCAGTGGACTCTTCTCCAAATTTGTACATGGTCTCGATGTTGGCTCACTGATGCATGCATGCGATGCAGGTTCAGTGGAGATTGGTCACGAATAGGAGTGTTGACGAAGGAAACAGAGGGAGAGCTGCAAATGGCAGCAATTGGTGTTGTTCCCCTCGCCGGTACTTTGATTTGGTCAATAAGTCAGCGGAGAAAGCTCTGAAGGATGATCAGCTTCAAACAGAGAAGCCAGAGACCAATTGTGGTGATGCAATTATAAGGCTTTCTGTATCCAATTTTCATCCTCTTAGATCTCAGTCGTTCGCCGAATGCTAGTGTCAATGACGCTTACAAGTCCTCTGAATCCAGTGCCTTCGAGATGAGGGAATCTTCCCTTGACTTCAAGCGAAAAGACTTTGAATTTCCGTCCTTGCTTCATTTGAGGATTCAGAGGTAGAGATTCAAAGCAGCAGGTCATCGATGGCAATGATACTTCCAGTAGTACATATTTAATATAGACGTTTGGACTGCATCAACATTCAGCCAGAATGGGAAGAAATGAAGTACGACATGAGAACTCCGAACTCTGTTGAACTTCGCAGATAGTTGATGGATCAGGTCAGCAGTTTCGAGGATGGGGTGTGTCTGACAGCTACGAAAAGGATCCCTTTTTTTTTCTAAGGAAGAGATGGCAATGTACATGCAGGGTGACATCTGCCAGTAGTAGATGTGGAATGGGCAACTATTTGTATGGAATGCCGTGGAATTGAATAGATATAGCGAGGATCTAGCAAACATAGAGTCTTGTCCTCAAGTTTTTCAGATGAGTGGTGCTTGTGGAGAAGGTTCTGAGTAACGTGCAAATTGATTTCGCCAGATGGTTCTCTTGCAGAATTCTGCCTCTTTCTTTTGTAACTCTATTTCGATTATGTGTACATATACTACAAATGGATGAAATGAAGAAAAGAACAGTTGTCTACGTTCATTCGCTAACAGCCGTCAAAGTGGACTCTCTGAAGAAGTGAGCGACTTCCATAACTAGACAATTTCGTAATGTATTCATCGAATCTTGTGAGAGTGACTGAACTGAAAAGGAAATTAAACTTCGTCTGCAAGTAGTGTCTGAGCTCGAACAGCAGAGCATCCTTGAGGAAAACTTTAGAACAAGGTGTCATGCCCAGCCGGTCTTTTTTGTTTGGAAATTTGAAGTTTGATATAAAACCGACGTTTTAGAACAATTGTTTTCGGGTTTTTTTTGCACGTGTGCAGTAGCACACATGCAGAAATATAGCTGAAAAAAAATGCCGATCGATCAAATTTTGACCAAGCTTCACCAAGGAATTGTCTTCTGAACCCAAACCTGTCAGTGTGTAACTCATGTTGTATCTGAAACTATGACAGAACATAGCCTTTAACGTCCTTCTATGGTTTCAGATGCAGCCCCTTAGCCCGCATACCTTCAACAGTACTAGTGTTAAAACGTGTGCCGGGACGCATGAACACTTGTCGTCACGGCCTGACCATCTGGCAATATGCTCATCAGATGGCACGTGGATACCTGTCATCCGGATTGTTGCCACATGGATTATATAATGTTGGAGTCTTCTTGGCTGACCAAACGTGGAAATTCAACCAGAGGTAACACTTATGATGAATAGAGGAAAAAATTAAGTCTCCCGCAGGTAACTCAGACTAACGCTGTGATGTTGTAGAGACTTCAGTCCTCGTGTCCACAAATGCAAGGAAGAGAATTTGGTATGTAAGATTAGATTTAGCCATCTATGTAGACAGAGCCTCTGAGAGAAAAGACGCAAGGATAGAAAGACATGTTACAGCTCATCCACAAAATTGAAAGGCAAATACATGTATTTGCCTGTATTTGTATTTTGCCTGTATTTTTCTGTTGTATTTCGCAAAAATATCAATATAGATCAATTATATGCTGGATATCACCATGAAATTTTAACTAAGTCACTAATACATCATTTAACAATCAAACAAATTGCATTTAGAGGTTTTCTATTACAAATCAATTGAAGATCATTGATCTCTAATTTGAATAATTTTGATGTTTGTTGTAGGGGCATAGTTAATAAGATGGTTTAAAGTTCATGCAATCTTTGGAATAGACTTGTAAGATATATAGAAGCGTTGATCAAGAATGCATGAATGAAATCCACCATGTAGTATAAGAGTTGTTTTAAGGTTTGCAGCAAGTGGAAGTGATTGTAAACAAGTATCGTTACAATTATTATAAGTGCAGAGTTAGCAACACGTTGTCGGATATCTCAGATGACTATTGCAGATTATTGATTACATTATAGGAAGAGGTTCGTTACAAATTAACATTTTTTAGTGAATAGAAAAAATATTTAAAAATCCATTGCATATTTTATTTTTTTTCCACATGTTTGATTATCAAAACACAAGGATAGAAAGGATAATCAAGTGTTGTAAGAAGTAGTTTAAATCATTTGCCTCGACCTCAATAACAAATGAAAGTTTCCATGAGGATATCCAAAAGTTTCACGTAATGAAAGTATGAACATTTGTCAAATAATATAATTTCAAAATTCATTACTTTGTGCTCAGTCTGTAAAATATATCATTCACTCAAATATAATTTTCTTTCTTAGAAGTAAAAATGATCTTAACAATATTATATTGAATCTCAAATTGACTTACTTGATTGATGAATTTGTATTCTTTTTGGTTATAACCATACACGCCTGCTAATGACTCATAACCTTCATCCAATTTGTAATTTTATGTTGATTTCCTTCTCTATCTCGAGAGTAAATTTCCAAACTGGATCAAATTTTGAGTATCATCAACTTGGGACAAAAATGAATGAAACTTGTTGTTTCATTAATTCAATGACTACATGTCCCCAAATCAAATAAACTAAGTATTTGCAATTCACATAATCTTTAAGAATCTTACAGCTTGTGATTGATGTGGAATTGGGGATTTGTTGATTTTAGAAAAATTAAAGAAAATAACTTGTTTACATAATTCTGAAGAGCTACATAATGATAAAGTAATAAAATGATTTTTCTCCATGAACTGTAAAAATTATTTTTATTTTTTAATAAAATTATATTAGATATTGAAGATGAAATCTTATCCAATTAAAAAAATTATGAGATAATTTGAAAAGATGTGAAGCTCACAATAAATCTAAAAGATGATTTAGTGATGTCAATTATGAGAATTTATCATCACTTTGTTACTACAAGAAATGATGATTATATTATTTTCATGTAATGATCCATGATTTCAATATAAATATTATAATACAATTAAATTAAAGACATACCATAGGAGAAAATTATGATTGAAAGTTTTATTTTAATAAATTAAAACATTAAAAAATTTAAAATCTAAGTTTAATTTGTTTAATATCATCGCAAATAAAAATTTAAGATAAAATTGCTGTAGATTACTATCACCTTATGACTTAAAAATATCAAAAATGAAATAATTATTATAGAGGTCAATCATATATAATGTATTTCATAAGCAATACATTAAACAATTGTTTATGGAATGATTAGAAAATTTATGTCTTACATATGCATCAAATGTTGTAACTAACATAAGTATATACTTCATGTTTAATCAAAGCCGTAGCTATATATGTATAATTTGCGAGAGGCGTTGAGATATAATTGGATTTGTCAAAATTACAACTTTCCTCTCATGTGAAAAATTAATTAAAGAAAATAGAAAATTTAGAATGAAAAAAATTTATTCTTAAATGATAATTTCTTTATAATTCAGGGTAGATTTATTTAAAAAAGCTTGTACTAGTTCATACATTTTCGAACTCATAACTTATAATCTTTTGAATTCATGGTTATCACAGCCAAAACCTAAATAATACTAACATTTCATTATTCCTGAAAAATAATTATTTTTATATGTTAAAATTCATTAATTATTTTTAAAATTGGTATAATTTCATAATTTTTTATACATTTTTTATTAAAATATAATAAATTACGTGCAAATTTAGTCTACAACATATCGTACAAATGTAATATCGCATCGTTTCGGATATTAATGTGGACACCTTTCACGAAAACATATGATTGTCAAGTAGTACATGGCCCAAACTAAAATGTTAATATGGAGTTACATGACAGTGGTAAGACTGTATTATTGCATATGATATGTCAAGTACTTCTATATCGAACGGTTCATCCGATTATTCTAAGTTAAATTTCAGACTAAACATAACATATGGGACTATTTCCTATGCGTTGCAAGATCTGATGATGGTATTATGACATTGCACAATGAAATTTTGCAAACATTCTATGAGACAATTATGTGGACGGATCATTTGGTGTGAAAAGTGGACGGAATCCGTGTGAACGGAAAGCGTTTGGTCGTGGAAGGAGAAGTGGACTGAATGGCCACGAGTGAGAAACCCTACACGAGCAGAGCCAGATGCAGGGGAATTCTGGAGCTTCGGCCACGGGAATTGAGTCAGTGATTGAAACCGTGGAATTCATCGGATGTGCACGTTGGAGTTCATTGATTGTTTCGCAGTGAAATGCGTCTCTTGGTTCGCATGGACAAATGGAAGATTGACGATTAAAGATCGATCAGTTGGGTGAAATTGACTGGCAATGGGTACAGGGAGGGTTTTATGTCGAGGTGCGAACAGAGGAGCGAGCGAATACTGGAGATTGTTTGCTTCCAGGAATTTGTCAGCGGCTCAGGGAGTTGCTCGGTCTCGACCTGTGCAAGCACCAGTGCTCGGCAGTAGGCTAGGTGTTCCTGAGAGTGTCATTGGCACATATGGTTCACATTGCAGGTGGTTCTCATCGTCTGGATCAGCAGGTTCCGCAGACAGAGATCTACCAATAGATTTATCTTTGTACCCGCCCAACTTAATTCGGAACTTTTCGATCATAGCCCATGTCGATCACGGCAAATCCACATTGGCGGATCGACTTCTAGAGTTGACGGGAACAATTCGCAAAGGCCACGGACAACCGCAATATCTAGACAAACTACAGGTTTATATGCCTAAGGCTCTGTTAGCTCAGCTGATTGAATTGAATTTTGGATTAATTTTTTTTAAATATAATGAAATGGATGTGGAGCTCAACTTTCGGACCTGGATCTCCAGAGGAGTACGCCTGCAGGAAAAACGCAGAAAATTGTTTTCGAATCATGAACTGGATGAAGCAGAAATAAGCAGAAATTTGGCCTTCATTATTTGCCAATATTTTGAGTTTGCATACGCATTCAAGGAGTATGATTTACAGGAATCTACTCTCTTACCTTGATCACTTGTAGTCACTCATGATCACTTGTGTTGAGAGGCGTAAAGCTGCTTATTTGATTGAGGTGTGGTCTTTCAGGTAGAGAGAGAAAGGGGAATCACTGTGAAAGCGCAAACAGCGACCATGTTCTACGATTACAGTCTTGATTCTAGGAAGTATTTGCTGAACCTCATCGATACACCGGGTCATGTTGACTTTAGTTATGAAGTTTCAAGATCCCTTGCAGCGTGCCAAGGCGTATTACTCCTGGTTGACGCATCTCAAGGGGTCCAGGCACAGACCGTAGCCAACTTCTTCCTGGCTTACGAAGCCGAGTTGTCTATAATCCCAGTTATTAACAAAATTGATCAGCCAACTGCGGATCCAGAGCGAGTAAAAGAGCAACTGAAATCAATATTTGATATTAACCCAGATGATGTTCTTTTAACATCAGCGAAAACAGGTCTAGGACTTGCTGAGGTCTTGCCTACAGTGATAGAAAGAATCCCTTGTCCCAAAGGATCTCCGGAACAGCCTTTGCGAATGCTGCTGTTGGATTCATATTACGACGAGTACAAAGGGGTTGTCTGTCATGTGGCGGTGGTTGATGGGACACTGAAGAAGGGAGTGAAGATTGCTTCAGCTGCAACAGGTCAGAGCTACGAGGTCAATGACGTTGGCATCTTGCATCCAGAGCTTACTTCCACCTCCCAATTATATACGGGACAGGTGGGGTATGTCGTTGCTGGCATGCGTTCAACAAAAGAAGCTCGGATTGGAGACACTTTGCACCTTGCACGAACTCAAGTAGAACCTCTTCCAGGTATGATCTGATTATAGAGGATTTTCTGACAATCTATCGAGTGGTTGGGTTACAGTTTGTCGCACTTGGATGAAGAATCTCAGATCGTAGTTTCGCTGGATTGTTCAGGTTTCAAGCCTGCTAAACACATGGTTTTTGCGGGTGTGTATCCTGCTGATGGTTCTGATTTCGATGCACTGAACCACGCTATTGAGCGGCTTACTTGTAACGATGCAAGCGTGTCGGTCTCAAAGGAATCAAGTGGTGCATTGGGCATGGGATTCAGGTATGAACTTGCTCACTTTCGAAATTCTCCGTTTGTAATTCCCTATCATCACAAGATGGCCTTCCACGTTCATGCCATTACCAGTAGCTTAGTGGTGTACAAGCTTTTGGCATCGCTTTTCTCTCCATTTTGAAGTCGGACAATCGCTTACTGCATCCCATGCTTTCTTCATAAGTTTGATGATATGTATTGCGCATCAGGTGCGGATTTCTTGGCCTTTTACACATGGACGTCTTTCACCAGCGCTTGGAACAAGTAAGTAATATGGTTTTTTGTGTCAACGAAAGACGTGTGCAAGTGGTTCAACCTAGGACCGGGCTTATATGAGTTCTCGTCCTGCTGTGTTTCATCAGGAATATGGAGCTCAAGTGATATCAACTACTCCAACTGTACCTTACGTTTTTGAGTACTCGGACGGAAGGTACAAAGCGCTAAGATGTAGATTGAGTTTTCCATCTTTAAAATGAATGGACTCTCTGGTTGAATACTCATGTGGCTACTCATTTTACAGTAGAAGTTAATGATGTGGAGCTAATATCGAACTTTGTTACTTCCTATGCTCAGCAAAGTAAACGTTCAAAATCCGGCAGCTCTGTCCTCAAGTCCAGGCAAACGAATTGTGAAATGCTGGGAGCCCACAGTGATGGCTACCATTATCACTCCTAGTGAGTAAGCGCACATATCTTTCTTTGTAACAAGTATTCATATTCAAGCAACAAAATATAGGATGTTGGAGTTCTAGAGATAGTGCAATATCGCCGCTTTATCCTGGTCATTTTTGATCTGCCACCTGTTTACCACTAGTGAGTAAGCGCACATATCTTTCTTAGTAACAAGGATTCATATCAAAGCAACAAAATATAGGATGTTGGAGTTCTAGAAATAGTGCAATATCGTCGCTTTATCCTGGTCATTTTGATCTGCCACCTGTTTACCACTCGCCCGTCAAATACGTAATTCAGGAGTAAAACTCCATACCTCTGAATATCACAGTAGCCTTGAATAAAAGATGAAATCTCTGATACGAATTCAAACTCATGGCAGTGGATGTCTCTTTGAGTTTAAAATGCTTAGAAAATAACCTCATGCCTGCACATTATCTTTCACTTTTCAATGTTGACAATAGTGAAAGATGATGAGCAAGTAAAATGGCAAAATTATGACCGAACCATGCCCCTATGCCTCAGTATCGAGGACCTAAGATGTTGCTTCATTTTTGGTGCAGATATGTTGGGAGCTTAATGACGCTATGCTCAGAACGGAGAGGGGAACAAATAGAGCACACATTTATTGATGGGTAATGGACGGTGATGCGACTCTATCAAATCTGGATCTAACATGCACAGATTACTTTCGATCATCCGTACTTGGACTTTTTTGTAACAAGTGGGTGGTATGCAAAGGTTTACGTACAATGCCCTTCTTGACTCCTGGCAGTGCTTCACCTTTTGCAGACAACGAGTATTGCTGAAGTATAAACTGCCGTTGAGGGAAGTTGTAATTGACTTCTACAATGAGCTGAAAAGTATTACTTCTGGCTATGCATCATTCGACTACGAAGAGTCTGAGTAAGTTCTTCTGGGGTTTTTTTTAATGATCGTCTGTCTAAAGACAGAGCAAGTACCTGAATTCTTCTTCGTTTTTCACCGTCTTTATGTTTGTGTTAATATTAAGTATATCCTGGTATTTTTTGTCCAAGTACAGAATGGAGGCCTCAGATCTAGTGAAGTTGGATCTTCTGCTGAATGGGGAACCAGTGGATGCACTCGCTTGTATAGTACACCGGTCAAAAGCCGAGCGTGTGGGTCGTGAGCTTTGTGAGAAGCTGAAGAAAATCCTAGACAGGTATCTAAAGAGTATTTCACTTTTTTGTTGATTGTACCATGAATTTCTTGGTTTCATTGATAGGACGTTTGACTTCTTCCTCACATGAGATGCTCTAAGTACATTTGAAATAAACCAGGTTAAGGAACTTACATGGTCCTGGTATTTGTGACAGACAACTTTTCGAGATTGCAATCCAAGCAGCTATTGGATCGAAAGTGGTTGCTCGCGAATCGTAAGTGAAAGAAATATAGCTTTTTCATCCTGATCATCTTAAAAGCTATTTGTCTATCTCATGACATGCTTTTTATTGCTGTTCTCCTTCGGTCCATTTTTACCCACCCATGCATCCATGCATACCCTTCTCAAATGCTTGCTGGTTTTTTTTTGTTTCTCTTCTTGTCTTCACTAATAATAGTGTCACTTATGGTTATTGTTTTTCAGTCTTTCCGCTTTACGCAAGAATGTTCTGGCAAAATGCTATGGAGGAGACGTGTCACGAAAACGCAAGCTTCTGGAGAAGCAAAAGGAGGGCAAAAGGCGGATGAAGCGGGTTGGATCTGTTGACATACCTCAAGAGGCCTTCCATTCACTACTTCGAAATTCATAGCGAGCCAGATGTAGGAAAGAGCTTGTCAGTAAATTAACACTCTTATCATGCAAGAATCGTGTCGGTGATGTGAAATATACCCCCACTATTGACCTCCCGAATTTGTTTCATCTGAAATCACTTGTGAGCTTCGGCTTGCAGTGCAGTTCATGAGAACTCTTACCTTAGGCATGAGGAATAGACCTCAACACATGAAGTGTGAACTCGAAAAGATGAAAGAGTGTTCAGACCTTGAAGAGCTCTGGAGGATAGTTTGGTCCATCAGAGAAGGAAACACAGCTACGCATGTACAGATATCAATATGAGAAAATTATCAGAAACTGTGGTTTCGAAGTTTTGACATGTAGGTCGAGGCCCTCAACTATGTCTTTACATCGGAATATGCTTCCTGTTGTCACCACCCTGCGTATGAATCTAAACTACCATTTTAGACTTTATTATCCTGAATCTATCTCGAAGTCCGAAAGCTTCGAACTAAGTACACAGGAGAACGCAACAAGGCTTAAACTGGGAATCGTTGAAATAACATTTTTTTGGACTTTCACTGAGACTCGAATGTTATTCATCAGTCTTCCACGTGGAGCCTTATGAAGCAACACGAAAGAAATCACATGCCGAGGGTAAACAACGTCAACAACGATAACACGGTCGGTGATGTAGAATCTTCGTGAGGTTGTGTGGGATCGTAGATTGTCATATGAAAATTGTGATAGTTCACCAACTATCACAATTTTCATAACGCGGGTTCAAGTCACGTCTCTTCTAGAAATTGTAATTTTATGAAGTGATAACGCATATCTATAGATTCGAAAGATTTGTAAGCACAAGAGCAAGTGTATGAGCCTTGGGGTTCAGTGACGTACGTTAAGTTTAGGACAATATGACGTCTTATGAAGTTCACAATTTGCAATCTGCTGGATGGCCGTCCGAAGTGTTTATAATGTTTTAGCCAAATAGAATGTCTCCATACTATGCGTCAAAAAGCTGTTGCACAAATTGCCGAGAGATCAAGACAAAGCGCCATACAAGGTAGTTGGCTTGAGTCATTTCTAACCAGCCGTTAAGTAATGCACAGAACGAAAGGTCTGGAACCGCAAACGCTAAACTGCAGTAGTGAACTTTTTTGTTATCCACTTGTCCCCAGTGATCGTGAACTAGTGGATATGTCAATAAATATAGACGAACATGGTCAGCAATTATGATGTAGCATATCCTTCAAGCAAAAGTTATGAAGGAGATGCATGGATGGAAAAGGGAGAATATTTAGCCATGGAGTCCTTATTTTGTTGAATCTCACATGGAAAATAAAGACTCGGCAAATCCGACGTGGCTGGCAGAGTTGCTGAAAGGATATGGGGGGCTGACAACGACTACAAATGTGGCACCGAGCCAGCTACTCTCGCTAAATCGGGCGCCTCGTCGCCGACGCCTTCAACACCGTCCCAACGTGAGGAGCGCGTTGGCGCGTGCGCGGCGTCGAGCTCGTCTCATCTCAATGCCGTCTCTTCCTTCAGGTCAAATCCAAAGCTGGACAAGGATTTGAATTCTCGAACGCGGCTGACGTGAAAGCGATGCTCGCGCCGGCGGGAGGGAGGTTTGGCTCGAGGTCGCCGGCAAAGGTAAGAACGTGAATCAAAACTTGCCAGGGTGTCTCGGAACTCTCCGTCGGGACTCACGAGGAAGGGAGGCAGGGAGGGACGATCCCTAACGAAGCAAGGCCGTGGCCCACGGTGTTTTGTCGCACTCCTCTGGAGGCTGTATTATGAATCATCCGGGTCGAAATTATCAGGAGACCATTGTTGGGATTTTGTATGGATTTGGATTCATCGTCGACTTGGCTTTGTTTTCGGCTGGGTGATTGAATGTTGGCGTTCGCCTTGGATTTTCTTCGACGTGACTGAAGAGAACCAGCGCCACGAGGAAGATTCAGGCGTTTTAGGAAAATGGCGATGAGATCGCGGCTACGACGGGGTTTCGCCTCTGGCTTGTTGGGGAGCAATGTCGATGGGTCCCGAGGCGACGGTTTAGAATGTTGAGCTCGTAAGTGGAGCTGGTCACCAGGAGCAGGAAATTGGTGAGATTTTGTTCCCTTCCGAGGCGGGATGGGTTTTGCAGTGTTGGCCCGTCCGGCGTTGTTCTTGCAGTTGGACACTGCAAAGAGTGGTTTATCGGATGGGAGATGGGATGGCGCAGGAGGAGGAGAGTCCGTGACTTCCAATTCTGTGAAATTCTCGAACAAGAAGCAGAAGCAGGGTTACACAACGTCGGTGAAGAGATATGTAGCCGAGAAAGCTGCATTGAAATGGTTCAGCAGGCTAAATAACGGTGGGAGAATCGTGCATTGTCCCTCGTCACCTCTGAGGTCTCCGAATGATGATGTACACGATTGCCAGCAAATTGGGTCTGTCTCTGAAAAGACGAAACCTGCCATTTTCTTCAAAGCAGCTCAAAAGCTTGGAAGTCTCGGTCGGAGGAAAACGGCGGGAGGCTCTGAAAAAACATCTGCTCTTGGGAAAACATCAATAAGGCGCACAAAATCATTTTCTAGTGTGGGTAGAGTTGCAAATTACAGTCAAGTGGTCACTGCGTCCAACTCTGAAGATGAATGCTTTCTTAGGGGACCTGCCAACAAAAGACCAGTAAATCAACCTTCAAATGGTACGGGAAAAGCGTGGAAGATGCTGGGAGGCGCAGTGGTCGCCGCCGGGACTGTGGCCACGGCTGGCGCAGCTTTGAGGGGATTTGAGAGTGGCAGCGCCCTAGCTTCCAGTGGTGATGGGGGTTTTGGGCAATCAGGAACAGGTCACGGAGGCGGAGGTGGGGGCGATTGGAATGGGGGTGGGGGTGAGAATGGGGGATTTGATGCAGGGGGCGGTGAAGGTTTTATAGCAGATTCCATTTATGACTCAAACAAAGAACATGATTCTTTTTCACCCAAGTCAATCAGTTTAGTCAGGAAAAATGTTGTTGCAACGAGGCCATCATTAGCTTCTCTCAGTTCTGCTGCTGGGGACTTCATCGATGGAGAGGCTCCACTCGGAGGAGATTACACATCCACCATTTATTCAACTACAGATTCCTATCCTGTGGCTGACCAGTCAAAGATCAAGAGTCATTACTCCCCTGCCACTGTTCCTCAAGATCATCAGAAATATGGCGACCGTTCTAATTTTGATCACGACGAGGACCTATTCTTCGGATCTGAGGTAGAAGAACGTCCTCTCGGTGGAGTTCCACAAGATCTTCGGAGAAAAGATGACGGGTTTCAAACAAGGAGCAGACCCTCTAATCTTGATCCCTCTAGTGGTAAGCCACCATCTCCGAACCAGACGTTAAGAGGAAATTATAATGCATACGAGGATCAACATCGTGTTCCTTTTCAATACCATGCCTCTTCTGATCGTCAATCACATCCAATTCCTGAAGATTTTACGTCCTTCGGACCGGATACAAGGACTACGCTTACTTCTGAACCTCGTGGAATTGGTCAGGAGAGAAGCGACGGGACTGATTTTTCTAGTTGGGTCTCTGGGCTCTTCGATACAATTTTGGGAAAGAGATCAGGTGGACAGGGTGGTGGAGCTGAAGGCAAACCCCTTGACGATGATGAAAAGAAGGGACTCGTAGCTGAAACAGCCGCCTTGGCTTTGAAACTGCTCTCTGAAAAAGGGGATGATTTTGCGAAGAAATTTGAGGTTTGTTTATCTGCTCAATGACCGTTTGTTGATGATTCAAAGTTAGACCCTTAGTGTAGAAATTTAACCGCTAGCTGATCACGTATCACCTATGAATGCAGACAAATGCGTTGAGAAGGTTGCAGAGGGAGACATTTTCGGATCTTTTGAAAGTTCGAGAAAGGCTCGACAAACTAGAGCATAAAACTGGTCTCCGCGGAAGGACACATGGGGATGCCTTGACAAGTGCCAGGACCAATTTGAGAGGCGAAGTTAATGCAGGAGGCGCATTCGTTATTGTTGAAGACAGCAGCAGTGCTCACTCTCGTGCCTCACTTCAGTACGCGGGATTGAAGACTGGGTTAGATGTCCGGTTCACGTTCACAACGCCGATGAGAGAGGGTGATATGCTGACCACTCAGTGTGGTGTAGGACAAGGTTCGGGAATGAGTGATGACCACAGCTTCGGAGGACCATTAATTCTGCAGAAAATAAACTATTTGGCACAAATTAATGACTCGCTATCAGTGTCCATCGCTCCTCTTGGAGCGAGGGCAAGCGACATGTCGGACACGGTCAATCACTTACAGGTCGGTACTTATATTCGCAGAACTTTCTACATTTTCTAGGAATATCCCACGTATCTCATATATTTTTCTCATCTCGACACCAGAGAGCAGCCGCTTTGCCTGGATTGATGTAGCTCAAGTAAGATCAAGTGTGATTGACTGTCGACGAGCAACGTCCCTTGAATGGGCGCTTATCCCATGTGTGTAAAATGTGTTGGAAACAATAGGTGTGCACGAATCGCCAACTTAAGCACAGTAGTTCTTTGCTCAGTCATATTGATTAACAGTGTATAGGTTGCTACTCCGAAGGAATATTCTACCTCATTAGCTATTTCGCGGTTTCTATACTTCCTATTTTGTATACAAAACGTTTTCTTTTTTGAGAGGAAGTTAATATCTTGTCAAAAGGGAGCGGGCGAAGTGCCACATGAGGTTGGAGGGTGAGGGCGAATTATGACTTACAGACCTCCTCTGGTGGCTTTCAGGGACAAGCTTTGACAACATTTGCAGGGACGGGACCTGCTCTTTACCAGAACTGCAAGGGTTCTGCTATCGGAGCGAGTCTTAGGAGCAGTAGTGTGCTGCTATCCATGTCACAATTTTTGTCAGGATGGGGAAGTACTGCCCCTGAAATGGCCCCCGAACCTTTATGCCTCAGCACACTTGCTCAATTCATGGTCCAGCCGTGTGACCACTTGGTTCTCTCATTGTCAGCTGTGAATAATGTATGGCCAAGTCCTCCTTCTCCTACGTTCAGTGGTTTCCACTGGAGTGAGATGGGACCCCTGGTTCTGTGCAAAACGGTAACTCGACCAACTGGCGCCTTCATTTTTAACCCAATGCGTCCATCGGCCGGTAATTCAATAATTTTGCAGGGAAATGCTCCTACCGAGAGTTGGAGTGCACACGAAATTAGAGGAAGTAGGGGGATCGCAATGCAGTCGGTTGCTTTGGCTGGAGAAGTTGATCTTGGTCACAAAGTTAGTGTCGGTGGCTGGGCTCAAGTGGAACGTGGAGATTGGTTGCAAGAGTTGGAAAAGAAAGAGTTCCAGTGGAATGTCAGCATTGCGAAGTGCACCGGACAAAATGTAAACTGGGGTTTGAGCATAGGACGGAGAAAGCGTGAGGATTGGCATGAAGACGGACTCTCACCTGTCATCAGTGATGGACCTTATGAACCCTCCACTTCACAGATGCAGATGGAAGCTTTTGTAAGGATGGGATGCGGAAAAGGTTTCAACTTGCAATCTGGAATAGTTTACATTGTAGACAAACATTCGCAAACCCCTGCCTTGATGCTGAGATCGTCTTGGACCATGTAACGAGTCTGACATACGGTTTATTCTGTAAATTCAACAGTTCCCCCTGTTTACTTCGAAATATGCCGTAATCTTGTGACGCGGTTATTGTACTGAAAGCGTCAGCTTGCTAAATATCTGACGCGTAAGACACATATGCCAAGAATGCCATCTGCAACAAAAGTTTTGACCTAGTCCAGGTTTCCAGTTGACAGCTCCAAAGTTTTGTTAAGGGAATAAGGGCATAACCTACCAGTGTTGCATAAGGATAATTTATCCACGTATTAAAGTGGGAAATTTCATTCTGATACATAGAAGGGTTATTCTAAAAAAATAATAGTGCGTCATGGATATTTTTGTTTATTGAGATTCAAAATTTGGTGATTATCATGACTGGGCCAAGATATGGCAGTGAGCAGAACAAGTGGTCTTCAGAAAGGATACCCACCTTTAATTCAAACAGTACACAAGAAGGCTGGTGCCGCCTGGTCGGAGGAAGGGATATAATTGAATCCCAGCCTCTCAGATAAGAGGTTCACTCCGAAGGCTTTTGATACAGGAGAGCAGTATTGGGAGCCGAGTGCAAGGCTAGAGAGAAAGGACTACATGATGCATCATTTGTCTAAGAGCAAGAGGATCAGAACTGTCTGACCCAGCATGCACTGAAACAAACGGGTGGCCAAACCCTGAAAGTATGTCCAGGTGAAGGCGACGATATACTGTACCCTGGCCACTGAGGATTCTATCTTCACTAGCAAAGCTCCACGAATAAATTCTGTCGTTTGTTCAAGGACTGTCCATGCTCCACGCACTCTTTATACAACTCCATTTTCCCCAAGATGTTTGAAATGGAGAGTAGAGTTTCTAAGGAGGTAGACCTTTCATGCTGATATTGACAGCAACAATTACCAGTGCATGCAGCTAGCTGCAGTTCAGGAATGCCGAAAGTTTCACGAGGAGAAGATATGTGGAGATGTTGAGAAGAAGCTGAGAACTAATATCCTTTCGTAAGCTCCGCGATCGGCCTCCAGAGTACATGGCTTTATGTAGACCATAGTTGACCTGAATAACCAGTTGAAACGACGCATGTGGGTTACATGCAGTACCAAAACCTTGGGGTTGACGACAATTCGCTGAGTCACAAAAGTACACGCTACTGAACCAACCACAGCGTGTGTGACAGAGTGGAATTTTGTTTCTTGTAGTTCGGACCTTAAGGGTCAGGTACCTGTTCTTACTGGTCCTCAAGCTGAAGGGAACTATTCACCCTGATGCGGGTTGGTTCATCTTCGTCAGACTACATGTAACTCGAACTTCCCTCGACCTGGGGAAGTTACGAGGTCGGGCGTGTCGACCTGTAAGTGACCACCATAGCCACCCGCCCTGCATGGGCGGAGAATGAATGAAGTAAATTTCCCGACGAAGCTGAGGGTCCAGAGGTCGACAACTGGCTCCTTTGGAGCTCGATGAGGCAACAGTGGAGTCCTCGAGGAAGTTCAAAGTAAGTCGAGGCTCATGATTCAAGCAGAGGACTGGAATGATGCTCTCCGCTGACGTTTTTCTCCTCGACACTTTCTTCGCACATTGAGGTACGGGCTCGTCTGGGCGTTAAATTCGCAAGTGTCGTGAGTTTGGTGGTTTGGGCATTTCCACTCTCAGCTGGGTCGAAGCCCTCTCCTCGCTCCTCGTGGCGAGCTGCAATCATCATATAAATGATTCTCAATACCATTACCTCTGCTGTTGTATGCGAATGGTCAGTGCGCCACGCCCCTCTCTTCCTTCTCAATGATCGAAGCAAAACCTGGCATGGCGGGACCAAATTGCACCGTAGATCCCGCACTGCGCGTTCTCGTGCGGCTTCCTCGGCTTTGGAGAGGGCTCAGTTTTTGGGTAAGAGCCTGGAGAAGAGGTCCTTATGCGACATTCGTCCGAAGAAAATCAGTCGGTTCAGAAAATTGACAGTAGCAGCGAGGGCATTAGAAGATCGTCAGCCGAGTCTTAAGCGGTGGAACAGCAAGTCAACATTCAAGCCAAGTCGTTGGGACACCGTTAAAGATCACCACAATCCCAAGGGACAAGGGAGACCCAGAAAACCCACCTCGAAGACGGTGGTGGATGACTCCAGAACAGCCAAGGGCACGGACGGGAGGGATGATGGGAAGCGAGCTGAGGCCGAGCGAATTCCGATTGCAACCCGACATGCACCGAGAGAAATTGAGGATGAAGAGATTCTCGTGTCTGCGAGACAGGTGGGCATTCGTGGAGCAGGGCGGGTGCTGCTGAGAGAAGCCAGAAAAGGAGCAATGTACATGAAGGACAAGTTGAGCAAGACCGACGTGAAGAAGTTGTTTAGCACAACAGTAGAGGCAACCCACGCAACGCCCTTTCCACCATTCACAGGGTCTCTGATCGCCACAGTGGGCGCCGTCATGCTATTTGGATTATGTGTAGACATGATGCTCTGGAAGATGAGCAAAGGTTCAGGTATGAACAATGTTCGCGCAGGCACTCTGAGTTCTAATGAAGAGATCGGAAGAGGAGAAGATTCACTGAGATCCAGAGCGCCGTCTGCTCTTTCGGTGCTTTTAGATGGGGATCTCAGGCGCAAAGAATCCGTCGAGTGGTTGAACATGATCATCGGCAAGCTGTGGAATTTGTATAGACGAGGATTAGAGAACTGGCTAGTTAGCCTTTTGCAACCTATCATTGACAATCTGGAGAAGCCAGACTACGTCAAGAAGGTTCAAGTTAAGCAATTCTTTCTCGGGGACGAGCCCTTGAGTGTCAGAACCGTTGAGAGGAGAACATCTCGGCGGGCTGACGATCTGCAGTACCATGTAGGAGTGAGGTACACAGGTGGAGCTCGCCTCCTCCTTTTGATTACTCTAAAGTGGGGTATTTTCCCACTTACCATTCCGGTCGGAGTCAGAGGGTTGGACGTTGATGCTGAAGTTTGGGTAAAATTTCGCATGATCCCAACCGATCCTTGGGTTGGGCAAGCTACTTGGGCTTTTGTGACACTCCCAAAAATCAAGCTAGCCCTTGCACCGTTTCGGCTTGTGAATTTGATGGCCATCCCCTTCCTGTCGATCTTCTTAGCCAAGTTACTGACTGAGGATCTTCCGGAGCTTTTCGTTCGTCCTAACAAAAATGTCGTAGATTTTCTTCAAGGCCGAGCAGTTGGGCCTGTATCGAAGGACTTCAAGGACGGCTTCTTTACAGATCAAAGCAGTTTTTTCACAGGAGAGCTCTCCGTGACCTTAATAGAATGTAGGAAGTTATCTTACATCCCATATCTGAAAACCGATCCGTATGTGATTTTTGTTCTCGGTGAGCAAGTTGTGAGGAGTAAGAAGAACAGTCAAACGTCGATCATAGGTCCTCCAGGTGCCCCAGTGTGGAATCAGGACTTCAAACTACTAGTTGTAGACCAGAAGACTCAGCATCTTTCTCTTACTGTGCACGATACTATCGGCTTCACTTCGTATCCAGTTGGTTCCGTCGATATTGACCTTACAACTCTGCAAGATACTGTCCCCGTAGACAGAAAGCTAATTCTGAAAAGTGGATGGGGGCCGCTTCCGAAACGTTTTGCGGGAGAATGTATCTTGAGGCTTACTTACAAGGCGTACATTGACGAGGAAGGGCAGGAAATTCCTGTAGGACCAGGGGATGGGATTTATGGCAATGGCAACAACGAGCTTGTTGGAAGTGCAGTAGAGCAAGTCCAGGAAGTGGCCACCTTCTTCAAAGAGGAAGCTGGCCGAGTGGCAGAATTTTTTCAGGAAAAAGATCTCGCCAAGAACATGCTTTCGTCCCTCAATGCCGTCACCAGCAATGAAGACGTGGAACGAGTGCTCCCCTTCTTGGCTTCTGAGAAGGGAAATCCTAGTGAAGATGGGATGGATTTACAGGAGGAAGTCAGTAGTTTTAAACTGTTGAATGAGGCTCGGTCTGTACAAGCAGCCATTGCTACAAAGGCGATTGATAGCGAGATGAAGAGTACCAACAAAGACAGTGACAATAGTTTAAAGGCGACCACCGAGGACAAGCAGGTCATCATCGAAAACCAGGATGGAACTCTGTCTGAGAGGGTCGTGCCGGGCGAGAAAGACAGTCAAGATAAATCAGCCTTTGTCTGGTTTGCGGCTTTAACAGGGCTTATATTGTTGGTAGCTTTGGACTTGAATATGTCGAACATTCTCAACCCTTGATCGACTCATGCCCGCTGTTGTACAGGTAAGACCACTTCTTTCAGTGTTTCTTTCCCAATCTGCTCGTTGGAACCCAGTGCAAGAAAATTGTCTGGACTCCGCTCTCACACACTGATTGCAAGCTTGTTCCGAAGAAAGGCTTGAGCTGATTATGCATCTGTGGTTTCTCATATAACCTGAGATCACAAAGCTTAGTTTCTGCAACCGTTACGTGTGGAGGCTTTGTGGATATTCTGTAAGTATGCTTCTTGTTGCAACATGAAAATTTACTTTGTGATTTTGTCCACAACCTTTCAGCAGGCATCATGTGACCTGAGTGAGAACTAAATGAGGTTCAAATATACGAGTATTCGAAGCGGACGTCTAGATGATGTGGTCCTTGAAAGTATTGCGGATTGGATCGATGTTTAGATCATGAAGTGCGCACACTCGACGACCCTCGATTCACAGCTTCTCACAAAAGAAACTCAGATTCCTTTATATTCTTCAGGTACAATTTGAGTGGAACATATGTTCTTGGTTAGTATAGAGGATTGAAAATCGTTGTAGGTGATTTTAGCCGTCAATGTTTAGTACTTTGGATGTTGTAGTAAGATCCGCTCCTGCTTCGTGAAGCTGATATTGAACTGAATGCAGAGTTGCAGGCAAACGACGGGTTGAACGGTGTGGTCTGTCGCGTGGCGACTCATCTTAGTATTCAATGTTACGGACTGGTTAGATTCAGCTGTATCCAATCTGGACTCTGGTATCTGAGAGGTGCGTGAGTCGAGATATGATGCATCTGAATCAAGTTAGTCCGGTAACATGGCTTTGAAGAAGCAGTCTATGTAATCTGGGCGATTATTTGCCACTAGGCGAAAGGGTAAAGCTCTACTTGCTATCGAAACCCTCATTGAATTACCAGATTCCATGCGTTACTGCACCACCTCAGCTCTACTTAAATCATCAATAGAATTGACTGCAATATTTGTCTTAGAGACTAGAGCTAGCAATCACATGGAATCAAGGTTGAATCTCAATTTTTAACTTCTTGAACTTGCCTCTTTTTCTCTGTGAGCTTTCCTTAATCCGTTTACATCGAGAAAGAACCATTCGGCTATGTCCAAGAATAGAACAACTGTCCAAGTTGAGCCAGCTTGTTTTATCTTAAGCTTTAGCTTCTTGTACACTGTGGTGAACTATATATTCATCGCCTATCTTGATTTGATTTGATTGTTTCACGCCACATTCACACACGCTTGATTACTAGTTCAGAAACTAGTAATCTGGAGTATTGGAAAATTCTCGAAAAGTCCGTTGCACAAAAGTTTAGGTTGGAGAGTACAGTTGTTTAAAGGCTCAATATACTATTTATTCATCATATTCTATGATTTGATTTGATTATATCATGCCACACAAATCTGTACGAATATCGTGGAGTATTTGAAATTTTCAATAAGTACGTTGCACAAAATTGTTGGGTCGACAGTGCAGTGTTAAAAACTCAATATATTTGCAGACAGTAGTCCTGGTGTTTTTCAAAACTTCTATGCATGGATAGACCACAGAAGTTCGTAACAGTGGTATCTTGTGGTAAGCTTTACTATGAATTTTCACATTACATAAGACATCTTTATACAATTCAGTTTTCCTTCTGCCTGTGATATGCAAATAGATTTCTGTTTATGTAAGTGAGATAACCGTATGAAATGATCTTTGCAAGATATGATGGAGAGAGCTCTCAGAGCTCACTCTTCAAAACTTAATCCGAAACTCGGAGCTGTATGTCCGTCCACATCTAAATAAGTTGTCTTTTTTCATGTCTTAAACACACAGTATGTCTTTTTCTAACTTTGAGAAAGTTACATATACAGTATTTCTAGGAGACTTTTGAGATGAGTAGGAAAAAACTGGACATATCGCCGAAAGGGCGTGAAAAAAATCGAATGTTTACTTCAGATAGCCATGCCTAGCGACTTGATTGATACAACCACCTATTCAGTGTGATGTGTAGCGCTCGAGAGAACATTGGTATGAAATAAGTCTACTTTCTTGAAATCTTGTTGCCATCATCGTAAATTGCCTGTATGCGTACCATGTAGTAGCTGTATTCATTCCTTGACGTAATCGTCGCCGGAATAGAGTAGTCTTTTGCAGTAGTCATTAAGATGATTAGAAAAAGAATGAGTTAAGAGTACTGGCTATTTTGCTATTCTCTTTCACGCATTTCTGCAGTTTGCCCACTCTACTTATCTATGTACAGGTACTTTCATTTCTGGGTTTATTAAAAGATTGCTCTTTTAGCTAGGACACTTCTGCCCTGTACTTCTCCGGGATTTATTCCTCTCTGTACCATGAGCCTTTCCTCCTCCCAGAAATGGTAAGTTAGTGGAGTCATAAACATGTGCAGGGCTTCCTCGCACGTTTAAGTACTTGCAGAAGTATTTTTCTGTTTGTCTGACCAAGTCGTAGACTGACGTGCAGATGAGTAGCTCGCCGAGCACAAACCCCTGACAATTTTTTAACTTTTGTACAAAAAAACTCCTCAAAGATGAAGGGCAGAGCGCCAGTTGCTAGAAGCCTTCCAAATTCACTTCTATATCATAGTTATTCTCTGAAAGCAGAAACTGGTTTCTCATTGCCTGAGCACAGGACAGGACTGTCTAACCTTGCTGATCCTACCGTATAAAAGATCATCCATTGTGGAAGGTTCTGCGGTTAGCATGCAGAGCATTCACCGGTGAATATCATTTACTGGCAACACCTTGTGATCGGATCTATGCAATCCTTAATATATGCGATTCGCTTCGGCCCATATATACCCTCAATCATGTCAACTCGTAGCACACATATTGTAAAGATGAATAGAAACTGATGTGTAGAAACTGGTGCGGAATATTGAACTCAATCTTTTATTTGACCATATCATGCATGAGGTAATTTACAATCTGTGTGATGTTCCTATGTTCATCCATCATTTGATTTATCACAAATCTATTTAAATCAAATAACATCTTTTGTTGGTTTCTTGTCATTATACATTTGGATTGTTTAGTTGATTGAGTTTGCATCTCGTATTATAGATCTCCAACTAACGTCCTTAACTTCAATCGTAATCATATATGCAATTATAAATATATTTGTGTTTGAGTTATGCATTTCTTCATTATGGACCTCCAATTAATATGCATAACATAAAATGTAAACACATATGCAATTAAAAGTTTAGTTGTGTCCAGACGTGACATTGCTGAACATTGTGTCGTTGGTAATCTCCATGAAGATAACATGTTAAGAATTCGGCATTTTTTGGAGATTATCAAACAAAACTTTATAAAATAATATAAACAATTACAAATCTTCAGCTATTTGAAAATTCATATAGGAGTTTCCAATGCATTTTCCTTGGATTTTACAGGTTCTCTTTAAACATAGCTAGGGTAATGTGAGATGTATTGCATATCATTAAGTACATGTATACATATTCTACAAAGTTGTACAACGTAGAAACTTCATAGAAATACTTGCGCTTTAAAGATCTCATCAAACTTTGAATTTCATTTTCTAAAATTTTGTTTCAATATAATTTTGTTACTCCCCTCCCCATACTCCTCCACTTGCTCTCTCTACACGGAGCTCAAGTGTGCATTGGATCTGAAACTTCGTGAGAGCTTAGACTTGGGCAGGACGCACAAACTTGCAAAATTTTAAACCAAATGCAATTTCGAGAACGAAGTTGAGACATTTTTGAGTTTTGAATTTTCAAAAGGGTAGAACTGAATTTTGAAAGGGTCGTATCTTTGAGCTAAAAGTGTGAATGGGATCTGAAATTTCATGTGATCATGGAGTTAGGCATGACGCAGTAGTTTGCAAATTTTTAGTTTCAAAAAGGTTCCGAAGATAGAGTGTAGTGATTTTGAAATTTCAAGATTTGAGAAGAGTAGATTAGATTCTTATGGAAGTATTTCTTTTAGCTCTGTTGTGCACCGGATCTGAAACTTCGTGAAAGCATGGACTTGGGCAAGGCGCGCGAGTGTGCAAAATTTAAGACTCAACGCAACTCCAAGGATGAAATTGAAACTCTTTGAGTTTCGAGTTTTTTTAGAGTCTTTTACATGATGACTTTTCAAGACAACATATTCAATTGTCTACAAACGATTTTGGAAGATTGAAAGTAATCTACCAAAAATTCAAGGTACAAAATTTTGTCTCAACTATTGCACATAATGAAATTTGGGAGTTGAAGTTATGTCACAAATTTTTTGAGAAGATCATACTTGATATTTCTAGATTTTTTGAGTAAATTCAAAAGAAGTTTGGTTATCAACTTTTAACTTCTGCTACTCTTGGATTGCATAAAGTGTTTGAAAATCTAGAGGTGAAAATGAAGACTTATGCTGAAGTTATCAAGTCTGCTCATATCTCTTTCTGTCAAGAACAAGAGATTGAAAAGTAAAGTCAATTTATTCATAAAAATATATGAGTATTTCTGGTATATTTTTATCTAAGAATGAAAAAATGAAGAATGTTGTCATCAAGTTTTTGGTTGAAATAGTTGATGTTTCTAAACCAGATTTGGTTCAAGCATTTTGCATTGAAAACATACGAACCTAAACTCGTGCCATTATAGTTAAGTTTGTTGATCAGACTCTACGTGATACGACTTTAGCTAAAAAAATTATTTTCAAGGTATGTAGGATTTGAGTAGATACTGATCTTACAATTCTACAAGTAGAATCAAAGAAACAATAGCTTATTAAAGTCAAAGAAGCTTAAGATGCGGATTTTTTTGCTTATTTTTGTGATGGACAAGTAATTGTTACTTAACGGAAAAGACAATCATCACACTAACAATCCAAGAGCTTGAGGTTGTTAATGTAAAATATAAGCAATCTGTGTGCTTATTAGTATTATCCGTCACATCATCCATACACTAGGAGTGAGTTAGATGAAGGAAATAAGATTTTATCTTATATTTGTTGGAGAGAGCTATATGAATGTTAGAGTGATGGATAATAAAGATGAATATTCATTTATCCAATGTTC